AAGTTGTTGACGAGTACGTTTACCTGGGACAAATAGTCCGACTAGGTAAGTCCAACTTCGACCGATTGGATTCGTCAATCGACGGATCCAACTCGGCTGGGCAGCGTTCGGGAAATTACGACGCATCTTCTCGTCAGGTATACCTCAAAACCTTAAAACTAAGTTATACAACCAGTGCGTGTTGCCAGTGATGACCTACGGAACCGAGACGTGGCCTTTCACTGCTGGCCGTATGAGGACGCTCAAAGCCGCTCAGCGAGCTATGGAGAGAGCTATGCTCGGAGTTTCTCTGCGCGATAAACTTAGAAATGAGGATATCCGCAGTAGAACCAGAGTAACCGACATAGCCCAACGGATTAGTAAACTGAATTGGCAATGGGCCGGTCATATAGCTCGAAGAACCGACAACCGTTGGGGAAAAAAGGCTCTCCAGTGGCAGCCTCGTACCGGTAGGCGAAGTGTAGGGCGACCCCCCACTAGATGGAGTGACCTGGTAAGACACGCAGGAAGTCGATGGATGCAGGTGGCTCAGGACCGTGCTTTGTGGCATACCTTGGGGGAGGCCTATATTCAGCAGTGGACTTGTGATGGGCTGTAATGATGATGATATACTTTAATATGCATTTAGTAAAAAGATGTTATTTTGACATTACAAACACTTAATTTTATTTATTTGTATAAATTGTGTTTGTTTATCAGTCTGCTAGAGCAAATATCCTCCCAATATGGCAATTTATGGGGGTGGTCCATAGAATACTATAATACACAATGTATTAAAGTATTTTATGGGTCGGCCTGTGTTAAGCGGTGAACTTTTAAAGGCTGTACTGGATGTATGGATGCATGGGTGTAGCTAAATAATGTAGTATAAGATTTTTCATAATTTATTGCAAATATAGATGCATTTTTTATCAAATAACGGTGCAACATTATACCTACTGTAATAAAATGTTTGAACATAAATAAAACAGAAGTTAATTTAGATTTTTAATCACTCAAAACTTTTCTGTAAAATATATTTACATAATTAATATGACAATACTTATAAATGGCAATTATTATCACAATGTATTTCAGACTATGCTATTCTAAATGTATTTAATGACAATAATATCTGTATAAGGAAATGATGTGTTTAGTTTAACAAAATGATTCCATATTAACAGTGACTGTAAACAATATGAGGAAAACACATAAAATAATCACATTTATGTTTATTAATTTGTACTAATAACTAAAAATCTATTCATATGTATCATCTACAGTGGAGTTTATCACTATTTCTACTTTTAAATTTTTGTTGTGTTTCACTCACTAAATAATAATGATTATAATCGACACAGTCAACATTGACCATAGCAATTCCATGACAAAATCTAATATAATAATTTCATACATAATATTTGAAAATTAGTTGGCTGAGCCTAACTTAGATTTAACTTAACTTTAATTTTATTTTTAGAACAAGTATTTAATTTTTATAAATGCCAAAAATTTTAAAGTTAGGTCTCACTTTTAGCCCACACAAACATGGACACATAGGTGATCTATTATTTCATTTTCTACCAATATTTGGAACTAGACACTGAGTAATAAACTATGTCCAACAAACAAAGTAAACAGAGCGCGGTATACATTTCAAGAGATGCCTAAACTAAACAACTCCTTGACACGCACTCACACACACACATCTTCCATATTTTTTTATCTATCATCACAGCTGGATGCACACCCATGAACCTAAAACCATGTGTGGGTACAAATTAATTTAGATGCATATGTGTATGTAAGTGCATGTTCTTGCAATGAGTTGAGCATGATTTTGGATTGATTGTGGCGTCAGTTGAAACATGTTTTTTTGTTTTTTTGTTGGTCAGCAGTAACAAAGTGTTTGCATTAATCTGATTCAGTATTAAATTAAGTTTTGTGTTATTTTGGATTTAGAGTAGAATACACATACATATAAGTTTATGGGATTACTTAAGGTAGACTATATTTTGCAAAGAACATATTTATAGAACGGATTCTATGGTTTCTGTTAGGATTGTTTCAGTGGAAATATTAGTGATATTTTGCTTCAAAGAATATTACAATATAATTTACACCAGCATGATGGGAGGGAACATTTGACCTGAATTGGGACTTGCATCGCTAATTATTTAATCACTATTTGTTTATGAGTGTTTTGCCTCATGACTATTAATAAAATAGCAATTACTTTTAAAACAAAAGTGTTGAGATATTGATATAATCATACAAGGATCAATATATAATTTACCGACAAAAATGGACCGTTTTATTTGATAATAATTATAGATATAAATAAAAATGTTATATACACACAGATATATATATATAATTTCAGTAAAGAAGTGAGGCAGTTAAAGATAGTGATCCATAATATAATGAGTGAAGTTCTAGCGATGATTAAAAGTGAAACATAAAATGTAACTAAAGCTCTAAACACAGTAAATAATCAATGCTCATTGACAATTTATCAAATTAACAGAAGCAAAATAGGTTTCTTACTTAGTACACAACATGATACTGTTCTGATCAACACTGGTAATGTCAAGTAAAAACCCTTATGTGGGAAGTTGCAAACACAGTCCTTTGTAAGCCTTTTATTAAAGTGTTTTAATACTATAAAATGTAAATAAATATACTGACACTGGAAACCTAAAATTATTTCATTTCTATTATTTATACATATTATACACAATTGGAGTACAGACAACAATCAAATGAATGATCTTCCATCTTAGGAGGTAATCAGTCAATCATTTTCCCATCTTGCAAGTGTTAAGATGTTTTATGTTAATTTAAGCCAAAGTTAATTTGTGTGGCTTAAAAACTATTTGGCTTCATAGTGGCTTGTGACTTGGTGTAGTACCATATTTTTTTTATTAAATGTTGTTAACATTAAAAGTATATTCTGTGTGATGAAGGAGTTTTTTATCTATAGAAAGTGTGGCAAACAAGCAAAAATTTCACCTGATCGTAAAACGATGCGGTGGCTCAGAGACACCTACAATTATCCTCTATTAGAATCAAAATATCGAAGTGTTCTCACACCTGAGGGTTAATATTGAATGGCTTGTTTTAAGTAAAAAGGTCTGGTTTCCAGTTCTCTACTGATTTTCTGCGAGACGCTGATATTCTGCGAGAGTGTGGTCTTCCCGGGTCAATCCAACCCATTCATGCTGCAGCTATAAGGTAGTTGCAACGTGGCTCTACCAAATAAGAATGTTATGAATATTTTGTGTTTTCTTTTATTTCATCTGCTTTCATTAAATACATACCTACTTAGTATCATGATCGATTTATTTTGTCTTATATTTCATTATTAATGTACAAATAAAGGAAATGATAGGTACATTCTTAATTATTTCAACAACTGCAAGTTGTAGTTGCACCTATTCACAAACTTACAATCTATTTACCTCTTATAAAATATTTCCCAGTTTTATTACAGGGCTTTAAGCTTTTATAAGAAAATTCCCTATGAATGTAAGGTGTACCTTTAAATAATATCTTTTACACCTTAATAATACATAATTTTCAAATGTATTCGAGATGTGTAATACTTAATAATTTTCCAATTTGCATTGTTTCTTTTGATTTCATCTATGTATATTTCAAGAGTACATAATAATTTTTATGAATAACATAAATGAAACCAATTTTAAGGATTTTCTCCTGTTTATGCAAATTATATTTAAATCTCGATCAGTTGAGTTGAGTTGAGTCTTGGCAGCACCCATGAGTACTGGGTGATAGGGTTGTTTAAAATAATATAACTAACCTGGGCCACCTTCACTTACTGTTTTTGGTCTAATCATCCCAAGCTGATCTCTGTTTATGACTGTTCATTCTGCATAGATAAAATTCACTTCGGGATTTCAAAATAAGTTGAAACAACTACGAAAAAATTGTTTCATTCAGTTTGAAAAGTATAATCAAATATATACCTTAAAATAATTATTAATGTAATAGCTCTTTCATATGATCTTGTATAAAATTGAGCCTAAGCTGGTAAAATGATACTATACAAACATTTTCTTACATTATTGCCAGTTAAATATTTTTTTATTTTGTATGGTATGAATATGATACATATGACTATTATTAATTATAATACAGTGCACTTCTAGTTGTGATTTTTTTAATGCATTATTTTTAATTATAGAAAGAATAATTATTGTATGAAAAGCATGTAATTGCATGTGATAAGTAAATATATGTTTCAATTGATTTATATTTTGGTAATACTAGGCATATTGCATACATTGTAGAGTATAATATAACATATTAAATTGTATTATACTATGTTAAAATGGTGTACTATTGAATAGTCTCGATACTGGGGTAAAAGATTTAAAATTATTCAATGGCGGTCCCCCACTAGATGGAGTGAGAAACTGGTAAGAGATGCAGGAAGTTGATGGATGCAAATAGCTCAGGAGAGTGCTGTGGCATTCCTTGGAGGAGGCCTATGTTCAGCAGTTGACTTGTGAATGACTGTAATGATGATGACTGTCGGTAATGTAATTTTATACAAAATGATATAATTTTACAAGCCATGAATAACATTTTCTGCATTTCTCCTTGAGTAATACTATCATACTATCAAGAAAAGTTGGCAATTCTGATATACATACATGGACAAGTATGTTCCTACCTACCTTTACAATATGAAAATATCTGTATGAATTATAGAAGCTTCGATGTAAGTTTACTAATTACATTACCTAATTCATTAAGTAAGCATGATGTGTTTTTAATATCCAATAGATAACTATAAATTTATTTACCCAGCACAGTTTTGTCTATTAACTTTCTTTCATGCAGTCCACTCCACTTGCTTCCTGCTCCAATACAAATCAGCATAATGTCTTCCTAATGAGCATCTTGATACACTACCTTAGTATCCACTACACAGTTAGTTAGTTAGTTAACACTACACAATCACTAAGTCCAACTGGTTCACTGTGATGTAATTAACCAAAGTAGACCGTCATGAAGGCCATGACTGAAATGCCAGCCAACAATGCCGCCAAGTGCTTCGCCGACTCCCATTTGTCATCTTCCCGCAGCAAGTCCGGCAAAACTGTCACTAGGGCGATGTGCAGAAATCCACCGGCGGTGAATGGCGCGATCCATGATGTTTTTGCCTCTGCAACAGATTTGTTTAGACCAGTAGTAGTTGAGTTTGTGGTTTAACGTGGTAAGGCTACTTTTACTTCCTGACTAGGAGTATATTTAGGTAGGTTTCTTTTACACAACCACTACAACAGCGAGTAAGATATAATAATGTCCTGCAGACCGAATTACGGTCACGGCGGTCTGCCTCAACGCAGGCTAGCCATCGGCGCAGGACAGGATTATAGTGCCCAAGTGTATGCGCAAGCACAGGTGCACTCTCTATTCCCTCACTCACATAATCCGATGGGACGGTAAACCGATACGACCGGAGAGAGATCAGGCGCAGGACCAACGGCTTTACGTGCTTTCCGAGGCACGGGGGTGAGACATCGCCAACTTCCTGACTCCGGGTAACTACTGAGAATTTTTTGACGGAAAACCTCAATAATTGATTTCGTTGGCCCGACCCGGGATTCGAACCCAGGACCTCATGATTAGCAGTCGCACCACTACAACCACTAGACCAACGAGGCATTCAAAATATAAAAATACAGATAGACTGATACATTAACAAAATTCAATGAAATGTGTCTAATTCATACAGCCAACTAGTGGTAGTGTTCCGTCTGGGTAGTTTTACTAATTTCTGCCGCTAAATAGCAGTGCTGTGTACAAGTCTGAAGGGTGTAGTGAGTCAGTATAGCCTGTGTTCCGAAATGGAACCCAGTATACTGGCCAATGCAAATGACGTCATAAATCGACGTCATACTGGTGATTCGTTTCAAAACATTGGCCAGTATATGACATCATACATGCTCTTAACCACTCTTTCTCAGTAACAAAGAATGAGTGATTCCTCATTTTAACTGTTTAAGCTCTGCCATTTTTTTGTATTTGAATAAGTAATAACATATTCTGGCATGCTTCATTCAGCGTACACAAAATTAAACATTGTTTTAATATGGTGGGATATCCGACACAATATGGCAGCGGCACGCCAGTACAATATGGCATCAATTAATGACCTCATTTGAATTCACCAGTATACTGGGTTTTATTTCAAAACAGACATAATTACAGGCTGTGACCATACGAATAAACACTATAGCACTATTAAATTAATGAATGAATTATTCTGCTATTTCACAGTAGTGTTCTGTGAAAGCGCGGTCCTATCCTGATGGTACACCTATTCATTTTGCAACTACGTAAGTAAGTTAGTGAAGCTAGAGCGTGCCCCTAAAACGTAAATTCGTAATAAATTTATATTCATACATTTTTAGTTATAGAGCGATTTTTGTCATAGTTGAGTTTAAGTTTTTAACTTTCATTTTATTAAATGAAACTAATTTTATGGATTTTACCGCATGTTTTAATGTATTATATCTAGTATTATATATAATTAGTTATTATATTATATAGTTATTAATATATTATATAATTAGTATTATATATCTAGTATTCGCGTAAATATAATAAATGATTTAATTTTATGTTTTTAATAAACTTAAGTTACTATTTGAATATTTTTACCGTCTGGAAAATGATATGGTGTTTTATGTATGTAGAATAGAAGTTATCCTCGAAAGCATTTGTAAAATATAATAAAATATAACTAGATACGCAAAATTTACGAAAGTCCGTTTGCCTAAAACTAGTGACTAAAAATTGTTAGACTGAGCGAGATGCATGCACATTTCTTTTTTTTGTAGAAGATAGAGCACACAAGCATACGGCTCACCTGATGTTAAGTGACCACCGCCGCCCATGATCAACCGCAACACCAGGGGAATTGCAGGTGCGTTGCCGGCCTTTTAGAAAGGAGTAAGCTCTTTTCTTGAAAGTCCCTAGGTCGTATCGGTCCGGAAAAATCGCCGGTGTTAAACTATTCCACAGAGAGGTCGTACACGGAAGAAAACTCCTAGTGAAACGTATAGTTGTGGACCACCAAGCATTCAGATGGTGTGGATAGTATCGGGAGGTTTGCTGCGTAGTGCGTTCATGAAATTTGGCGGCTGGGATTAATCCGAACAATTCCTCAGAGCACTCCCCATGGTAGATGCGAAAGAAAATGCAAAGAGATGCAACATCTCTTCGCAGCGCCAGTGAATCGAGCCGATTGGAAAGCACTCGATCGTCGACGATTCGAACCGCTCTGCGCTGGCTGCGGTCAAGTGGAAGGAGCTGGCACTGGAGAGCCCCAGCCAAGAAATGGTAACAGTATTACATGTAAAGCCGAACCCGCGCCTTGTAAAGTTGCAGGCGGTGGCCGGCATGAAATACTGCCCCGCTCTGCTGAGCACGCCAAGCGGCCACCTGGCGCCTATACAACAACACCATCTAGATGCTTGGCGGTCCACCTCTGTACGTTTCACTAGGAGTTTCCTTCCGCGTACGCGCTTTTAGTGGAATAGTTTATCACCGGCGACTTTTACAGGCCGATACGACCAAGGGACCTTCAAGAAAAAAGCTTACTCCTTTCTAAAAGGCCGGCAACGCACCTGCAATTCCCCTGGTGTTGCGGTTGTTCATGGGCGGCGGTAGTCACTTAACATCAGGTGAGCCGCATGCTCCTTTGCCCCCTCTCATATAAAAAAAAAATGTTTACGATAATTATCAGCGCGCGGCTGATACACACGCGGAAACATAAATAATACAACTTCACGCCGTGGGTAATTGCATGTGACTGAAAAATGAAATGAGAGCGCGGGGGCGGGCGCAGACGAGAGAGAGTATGGTGAGGGCGGCACTTGCGCCTGCTGAAGGACATCAATACGGCCTACCGCAGTTGCTTCGAGTGTCGGTTGTTAAAAATGTATAGCATCGCGTTACAAATTCACTGCTGTTATTGGTGCTTGTAAATTAGGGTTGGTTGAGTTTTGATACATTTTAATTGATTTATTTAATTAACGAAAAATATTTTCTTATTTTTTGTAAAATATCAGTGCCATAGGCTTCTACTCCGTTCACCTGTTACACCCTATTTTATATACAGAAGGTAAAAAACCAGTATAGATATGTTAGTAATGGGCTCAAACATGACGATGTCCACATTCCACAGTAGATCTAGAGTAACCGACATAGCCCAACGGATTAGTAAGCTGAAGTGGAAATGAGTCGGCCATATAGCTTGAAAAACTGATAACCGATGGGAAAGAAAGGTTCTCGAGTGGCAGATTTGTAGATATAGGAGAAGTGAAGGGCGCCCCTTGTTAGACGGAGTGACGACAAAACATGCAGCGAGTCGATAGACGAAGGTGGCTCAGAATCTTATAACACTTTTGTGGGAGGCCTATTACAGCAGTGGACTTGTTAAGGGTTGCAATGATGAGGATGATGATGAGAGAGTAATATACCAAATGGACTCACCTATAGCATTCCTCGCGCCACTGAACATCACAGCGGTCATGGCACCGATCAGACCAGCTGATGCTGTTGCCTGGAATAGCAGATATTAAACGAATGTAGATGATAAAGTCAAACATTTTGATTTTTTAGTTATTATAATGAAATATTTTAGTTACATCGTTAAACATAACAAACTATTAAAGTTAGCCATTGAACATAGGCCTTCCCCATAGATAGCCTCACAGAGGGTAATTTTTGCCTCATAGAGGCAAAAATTTTCAGACTATACGGCACGTGTTGAGGATGGCTGCTTTTTGCATGGTAATATAACTATTTTCAGAAAGATCTAATCGTTTAAGGGAGTGGGACAAACATTTCGGGATCACACCAGTACTGGAGAGCACCAGCGGTACAATATATAGGTACTTTGTTCATTTTCCAGATTCTAGTTACTTCTTCTTTCAATTCTGTGTATTTATGATTTTTTTTCAGTAATGGTTTTTTGTATATTATGGGTATTTGGGATCGCTATATCAATAAAGTATACTGTTTTATTTGATTTATTAATTAAAGTTATATCCGGTCTATTGTAATGAATTGTTTTATTGGTAAGAAAAGCTCTATCAAAGTACATGTGAAGTACAATAGATACGATAGTACGGCAGTAGTTTTTGGTTCGGGATTAAATTGTTTAAAATGTTTCGGGTTTATATTATTTATTTGCAAGTTTTTGATGAACGTAATTAGCAACCTGGTTATGACGGCGGGTGTAATCGGTTTGTACTAGGCTGGGACAAGCACTGGTAATATGTTGTATAGTTTCGAGTTGGCGATGGCATTTTCTACATTCTTTTAATATGTATTTTTTATAGTTTCTTGTATTGATTACTTGATCCTGAATAGCAACAAGAAAACCTTCGGTTTCGGGGAAAAGAGAACCTATTTTTAACCATTTATTTGAAGCCATCAAGTCTATGTGAGGTTGTTCTAAATCGTGTGCATGTCTACCATGTAATTCTTTACTACGTCACTTTGATAGCTTTCCTTTTTCATGATCAATTACTGTAGTAGATGCAGCATAAATCAACAAATCAACATTACAATAAATTATTTAACTAACTCCTATTTTAAATTAAATCTTCTTCTTCAGTTGAATCTTTTTTGGCGGCACCATCATCATCTGTGTCCATCATCATGCTTACTGTACTGTGAGTGTATACAAAATTTGCATTTCGATATTAATTTGACCAGTAGTTAGTAGTATAAATATGGATCATTACCTTGATTACTTAGATTTAGAGAGGTATAATTGTTATCGGATTCAATGACTGCTTGATGTAACGGACTATTAGCTGATTTTTCCTTCCCATAACCTCTTAAGATCTATCGAAGAGAGCTATAGGGGGTAGGGGTCTGCCCCTACCCCCTATAGCCCCTATAGCTCTCTTTAAAGTAAGTCGTTCAATTGCTGATTTCGGATGCAAATGTTTGTGTTTAGTTATGGTAGTCCTAGTTTTGATTTCAAGATTTCGTATATCTGTGGTTGACCATTTAATTACTCCGAAAGAATAGATAAGTATTGGGTTGGCAAAAGCTTTGAATTAGCTTTGAATAAATTTCTAGAATTAAGTTGCTTTTTACGAACTAGATTCAGCCTATGTAAATATTCATTACTATAGTTCGGCCGTTCAGAGAATGCGTTCCTGACACGTCGCGATTGAACTGACGACGTAACTTTGTAATGGCGTTTCAGATACGATAAAAATATTTTTGCTGATTGTTTACCGTTTTAACAATTGATGAGCATTAAAACAACATTATTAAATCAATAATCAATGAATGTTATAATTTTGTGACAAACTGAGTGTCAAATAACTTGGTAAACAATATTTTTCTAAATATACTGCGCTATTACAAGGTTATGTCAGCGCTTTATATTTGTAGTGCTGTGCTAACAATAACAGGCAATAACAGTATCGTAATCTGTTCTTATACAGTTATACTTTATAAAATAATACGTTTTGTTTTTCTTTTTAAGAATTTGAAAATAATGGACTATAAGATAACTTTTATTAAATATAAAAATAAAACTACGACAAAACCGAACGCGCGAAAGAAAGTAGCATTTTTATATTTAGGTTGAAAATGGTAACCCCAAATGGCGTTATGGGCCGCCATTTTGTGACGCTAAAACAGTCGTCTGTTGTCGTTTCGTGCGCATAGACCACGTTCTTCAAGTGTTTTCGATCTGTTTTTATTTGATTACCCGGCTTTCGTTTAATGGACTGTTTCTGCTTTTCAAACTGACATCGGCGCTAAATCGGACTTCGATTGTGTTTTGTATTGCGTTCTTTTTACTTTTGGTGCATAATAATGCCTAAACGTGGCCAAACATTGAAAAGTGGAGCCCGTGAGTTAATCATCAAGCTGCAAGATTACTTTGAGCGGGAGCGGCAAAATGGCGGACCCCTGTTACCTGTCGAACAAGTACAAGAACGCGTCTCTCAGGCGCTTGGAGTAAGCAAACGAACGATAACAAATATTAATAAAGAAAAGTTCGGCTCTACTGGCACGGAAGATAATATTTTACGTACTCCGAAGAAGAAACGTAAAACCCGTGACAGATATTGACACCTTTGACGCCGATGCAATCAGAAATCATATATATGGTTACTATTCCAGAAATGAATATCTCAACAGGAAGAAGCTTTTGGCATCGTTAAGAGAAGCTGGACTGTTTAGCGGGGGTAAAACTGCTTTAACCAAAATCTTAAAAGATATTGGTTCTTCGTATAAAAAAACAGACAAAAGAAAAATTTTATTAGAACGATACGACATAATTTTAAAACGGATAAGTTTTTTGAGAGAAGCAAAAAATATTGATAACTGGGATGTCGTGTTCATTGACGAGACATGGCTAAACGCCAATCACACGGTTTCCCGTTCTTGGACGGATGATACACAAGCGTCGACGTCGAAAGTACCAATGGGTAAGGGGGCCCGTCTGATAATTAGACGCAGGTTCTGCAAAATACGGCTTTGTGGAGAACGCGTTACTGGGCATTTCAATCAAAAACCACAAATGACTACCACGAGGAAATGCCCAGCCTACCAGAGCCTTCTGTAATATTCATGGATAATGCCTCCTATAACTCGGTTCAAATACAGAAACCACCTACCCAAGCTAATAAAAAAGAAGAAATGGTGGATTGGTTACAAGCAAAAGACATTGACGCAAATATGCAGATGCTAAAACCAGAGCTAATTAAATTAGTTAAAGAAAATAAAGCGGCAAATGTGCGATACGAAATCGATGAAATGGCTCTGGAGTACGATCATCGCGTTCTAAGAATTCCACCGTATCATTGTCAATATAACGCGATTGAGCTAATCTGGGCTCAAATAAAAGGTTACGCCGCCCGCCACAATACTTCCCCGCCATTCAGCACGAAAAAGATGATGACCCTATTAAAAGAAGCCTGCGGGGGAAGTCACAAGAGATGACTGGGCAAAGGTTGTTGAGAAGACTAAAAACCTGATTGTGGAACATTTTGACCGAGATATCAGGATTGATTCTGTTATTGATAATAATATAATTATACATGTAGGCGAAGATGATGATGAAGACACCACCTCCTCAAGCGAATCGGAGTCTGATTAATATTCGTACGTACATTCAATTCAATGTACTTTATTGCATAGAAATACAGATTGTAACTTTGTAACAAAGAATAAATAAAACAATTTTATTATATTAATATTACCTTTTTTTGGTTTCCACTTAAATTACTAAAATATAAATTTTTGCCAAATTTAAAACGAAAATAATGTTAAAAATAACGCGGCTGTTCATTTTGGAGGAACGGTAACGAACTCAGCGTTATGTTGTGCCCATCACTAGTCGTGACTAACTGATAGCTGTCAGGAACGCATTCTCTGAACGGCCGAACTATAAGTTCCTTTTTAATCGCAGTATGGTTTATACATCTTCCTTCACGCAAGTCTAGATATTTATATGTATCATATTCGTCCATCAATGTGAACATATCGTATTGACTTTCTGTACTACTATTGACTCTACCTTTGTGAAGTTCAAGCGTTTTACATTTATTTAAATCAAAGGTCATGTTTATATCTTTACTAAACTCAGCTGTAATTTTTATGAGGGCGTTCATTTCTTTTTCTGATTTGGCAAAAAGTTTTATATCGTCCATATACATTAAATGATTAATATAACAGGTGGCTTTAGTTAATTTATATCCGTGATTGTTTTTGTTGAGTAAAGAAGATAAAGGGTTAAGAGCCAGGCAAAACCACAGTGGACTCAACGAATCTCCCTGGAAAATGCCATTAGCGATTGGTATATCCTCTGTGACTATAGTCTTATTGCCGTCATTAAGATGTAGTTTAGTTTTCCAAGTGCCCACGACTCTCTCCAGAAAAGAAATAATGTCCGGGTTGATTTTATAAATTTGCAAAACTCGTATCAGCCAATAGTTAGGTACACTGTCGAATGCTTTTTTATAATCAATATATGTTAGGTTAAGACTACGGTTGTGGGAGGTAGCGTGTTTAATTACTATCGAGTCGATAACGAGTTGTTCTTTACATCCTCTGTGATTCTGTCTGCATTATTTTTGTTCCTCCGCTAATACTTTATTATGTGTTAAATGCGTATTAATTTTTAGTGTTATACAAGAGGTGATTAGTTTGTATATAGTTGGGGGACACGTAATCGGTCGGTACTGTGAGGGATCTGCTGTTTTATCACTTTTGGGAATCATGAAAGTAGTACCTACGGTTGCAAATGATGCGCCTTTTAAAATATCTGTAATAATTTTCGCTAAAATATCGTGGAGGGCCGAGAACTTTTTATACCAAAAGTTGTGAACATTATCGGGTCCATTAGCTTTCCAGTTTTTTTTTTTTTTTTTGGTTACATGTTCAATCTCTAATTTAATAACTTTCACAGAAGTTATTCCATCCATTCAATAGCTTCTGCTTTATTTTCTTCTTCTTTGATCCAACTTGCCTGCTCATTATGTTCATTATTTTTCTTCCATATTCCAGTCCAATAGTCTTTAAGTTCGTCTTCAGTTGGCACTTCGTTGGGTTCATTGGATACATTACTTACATTATGTTTGAGGTACCGATAAAATCCTTTTTCATTAGTCTGAAAAAGCCTATTGTGTTCTTTTCTTTGTAGGGCTTTCTTGTATCTGACTAGTCTTTGGGTTTTAAGTGCAAGTTTTTGTTTTAGAGTGTCTAAAAATTCAGCTGGTCTAATATTATTTTTATAAGTTGAATGACCTTTATATTTATCAAATATTATACTTTATATTTAAATCAATTTTCTTATTGAAATAATACTAGTTTTTACGGAATTTATCGCGTATATTTAACTTTTTAAATACCCGACGTTTGACTCATGGTCACGGGCGGGACTGAGATGTTCAACGTCCATATGTCATAGTTAACCGCGGTTACCATAGATTAAAATTTAACTTTTGTTCCGATCTATGCATAGATAGTAAAGCGTTCGCGAAGTTAAGATAGTAAGCGTTTGCGAAACGTCGGGTATTTAAAAAGTTAAATATACGCGATAAATTCCGTAAAAACTAGTATTATTTCAATGTGTAGTGTTCGCGTAAATATAAGAAATCAATTTTCTTAACTAATCTAGGTTGTCTATTATTGTTAATAAATTGTGTTAATCTAGCCACATCAGCGCGAATCAGGATAGATATATTCATTTCTAATGTTATTTGCCAAGACGGTTTATTTTGAAATGAATTTCGCTTTTTTAAGTGGCCGTTTGAAATTTTATGTCCTAATAGTTTTAAGATAACTAAAGCTGAGCAATATATGAGGGTATGAATATGTAGTAAGTCAGAATCAATACTATAGAATTTGGGTAATATATATGACCATTGAAAATGTTAAGTAAACTATATAGCTGCTTATTTTCTTTCAATCGCGGCAGTTTGGATCTTATTGTTGCATGAATAAGTCAACTAGCGCCATCTAGTGTCAGGAACGAGAGCGAGGGGAGCTTTGCAGAAAATGACATCACAAATCTCTCAACCGACAGCGCCATCCGAAGAACTAAGTTTCTAGAAAATCTACACTCGCACACTCGTCCCTTTGCGCGCATTTACTTGAATATTCCGGATGCTTCTTTGCTAATTTATATAAATAGGCGCTGCAAGATGCGATCGAGGCAGTATTGGATTTGGCGAGACAAGCGAAGCTTCGGAGCGGAATAAAGTGAATTAGTGTGTTTAATTATTAGTGTTTTAAGTTTTAATTTGTGTAAAGTGAATTAAAGTGTTAATTTAGGTAATTTTATCGGCAATTTTTATTGTCACGAACCTCAAGCTCGTAACATTATGTTGGGGTCCGTACCAGTATACAATGCTAGATTAGAGTCTTCAGTTCGTTGGTTAACTTCTGTACTAAACCATCATCTGGGAGATTTATTTCAGCTGGGTATGAAACACTTAAAATACTAGTTTGAGCCGTGCAGTTTGTGTTGCAGAATCGGATGTTAAGGTAATTGATTGAGTTTCGAATAAGGAAGAGGGCGGAGATGACTGACGTAGGCTAAAAAAGGTCGAGATTTGAATTACCCGCCGTCATATGATTGGTGTCTCTTGTATTTGAACGTGAGCCCGAAATATTATTCTCAGCTTTCTCGTTTTCAATTATTTTAGCTGCTATGAAGCTTTATACTTTTGATTTGTTAACCAGATAACAATTTATTACTTATTAATACTCGTCTGGTCTGCAATACGTTGAGAAGTGACATTTATATGAGGATATTTTAATTGAAATTGGTCAAATAATTTCTTAACGTACATAGTGCGATCGGTTTCTAATTTGGTAATGTAAAAGTAAGTGCGCATAATGAAAGTATTTATTTCTTCATCCCATTTCATGCGCACTCTAGGCTTGCCAGCTTTGGTGGTCACAGAGTGACCCTTACCGCCCGTGAAACATCCGAGCCCGGAGAGACTGCTTTACTATCGCAATTGTATTCATCAGACGATGTTAGTGCTACTGAAGCGCGAACTGGCATTGTTCGGGAGACCCGGCAGAGGGCCGTCCAGGTAAACCCTCGCCACCGGTGGTTCTTATACTGAAACGCCCAGCACCGGCTCCAGGCGTGCCCCGACGATTGCCTTCGGGAAGCGGTCCTTTACTAATACTTCTTTTTCTCAACTCCATATTGATGGGTGTGCTACAGCCCCGTTGGTCACCCGCAAAGTACCTTCGTTGCGGGTGTCCGCCACTCACGTGACCGTAGGTGTTAAGCTCGGACGAGGGGTTAGACTTGCAAGTGGCTTATTATTATTATTATTATTGTCATCTTTTATGACAGCCACGGGATGTAGGCTAGTGGATATTCTCACACTGCCACTATATGGTATAAATCTTATTTACATTTCTTGTACATTACTATAAAAGCTATTTTTGTTAATTATATCTTTTATGAGTAACATAATCGCTTCATACTTCATTCTCATAAAAATAGTCGTCAATTTAAGAAATTAGTACAGTAAATGTTTATAGAACAAGATTGACAAACGAGCACACAGTCCACATGATGGTAAGTGGATGCTGTGACCCGTAGACATTTACATCTATCCTCGATTAGGAATCAAAATGCAGATGTGTTTTCATTCATGAGTACAATTACAAAGTTCTCCGGTTGTCTACCCTCACTGTATTAACGAGAAGCATTATACTACGCTGGTATTCTGTGAAAATGTGGTTCTTCCCCAGTCAAGTCAAGGCATTTGTGCTACATCCATAATATATCTGTAAGTTATGGATATAAGCTTTTACGTGGTATAGCCACGTAAAAGCTACCACGAATCTCATGGAGAAACTTCTAAAGTGAAAAGATAATATAATAATCTAAACCACATACCAATTGCGCCTTTGCAGCTTCCCAACGAGAGAACCCGCTCTTTAAAAGAATTGCGAAGTCCCCCACCTCGTGGGGAATCTCGTGTACTGTAAAAAAAGGAAAAGTTTTATTAAATTACGTTGGAGTGACAAACATGCCTGATAATAAGTGGCTTCTATAGCCGATGGACACTTGCAATCAACTTCAAACTAAGAAGGCTGCATATGCTTCCTCTGATGGTTAAGATGGAATGCCTCACAGCTTACAATTATAATAACTCTCTATACTCTTCAGGGTTATGCTCAGTTTCTCTGCGTGATAGACTCAAAAATGAGCATATCCGCAGTAAAACCAGAGTGACCGACATAGCCCAACGGATTAGTAAGCTGATGTGGCAATGAGCCGGCCATTTAGCTCGAAGAACCGATAACCGATGGGGAAGAAAGGTACTCGAGTGGCAGCCTCGTACCGGTAGGCGTGGTGTAGGGCGACCCTCCAATAGATGGAGTGACCACTTAGTGAGTAATGCAGGAAGTCGATGGATGCAGGTGGCTCAGGACCGTGCTTTGTGGCATACCTTGGGGGAGGCCTATGTTCAGCAGTGGACTTGTGAAGGGCTGTAATGATGATTTGATTTGATGATTCACACTAGTTTATTGAAAGTTAAAGTTGCTGAGCACAGCTGAGCACAGGCCCCTTATTTCTGAGGGGATTCCAAAAAAGTCAATGTTTACATTATGAAACATATTTTTGAAGTGAAAACTTCTTTAGAATCATTATGATTCGAAACTACATAGATGAAACGAAACATCAGCCAAGTGCGAGTTGGATTCGTTGGATTGAATGGTTCCGTACCATCGTAAGACACGTAGAGTAGCCCCCTTTAATTTTTAATTTATTTTTATAATTTGTTGTTATAGCAACAAAAGAAATACATACATTCTGTGAAAATTTCAACTGTCTACCTATCACGGACGGACAGCGGAGGCTTAGTAATAGGGATAGTTAGTGTACAGGTTACCCTAAAAAGCGACACTAAAAAGAGACAAAAATATACATTTTAAGTATTTAGCCTGCGGGAGAATGAGATAGAATACAGTGTACAGAGTTTCTTATGATGGATGGAGACTACGCATGTGATCGATGCAAAATTTAAGGGTTAAAGACGAAATTTGTTGATTAGAAAGTATTTAAGTATTTACGATCATGGAATTAAAAATCAGTATAATATGATAAGTAATATATTAGAGTCCCACGTGATGACGTGACCATAGGTGCTGGAAAGCACGCGAAACGTCGGGAATTAAAAATAATTAAAATTAAATGCGCTAAAATCCGTAAAAGTAGTTTTAATCAAAGTAATATATTATGTTAAATAAAATGTAAACCATTTTTTAAATTTGGTAACAATATTACATAGTAATTAAACCCTACAATTATCCTCTAGTCTTGATATCGTCTATGCATTGGTCTCGTTCTCTCGAGATTTAGTTTTTCGGTTTTTAGGTTTCACTTCTACGTGTGATGTGAACAGTACATATGGTTTTTTTTAAATCTCCGACATTTTACTCCTACCTCACGATGTTTTATTTCACCGCCGACCACATTGTAAAACAGCAATTAAAAATTGCAAACATTAAAATATCACTTAAGTGTGGTAAGTATAAAAAAAAGAATATCGCATCGCATGTTAATCTAAGACTTAAGGGGAAATATAACCTCAAATGGCTTAGCAAGATCCTCTGTTATACCGAAAATATTGCAGCATTAATTTTCAAATAAATATATGGTAAAGTTGAGGATTGATGTTAAGTACTATGTTAGAAGAAAACATGATTCCGTAAAATTTTCCAGATAGAAAAAATATCCTAAGTTACCTCCAAACTGAAAAATAAACCGCTGTTATTCATAAAATACTTTAAATAAGATCATGAAACTTTGCATACTAACTGAACTAACTATAAAGCAGGGCTTATATTTTTTATTTATTTTTAATTACCATTATTTTCACTGTAAAAAGAAATTACCTAAACTATCGGCGTCCTGAAGTTTGATTCCTGCCGCCCGGTTCCAAGCTTCAGGCCTGCTTTATTTATTAGTTCAGTTAGTATGCAAAGTTTCATGATCTTATTTAAAGTATTTTATGAATAACAGCGGTTTATTGTTCAGTTTGGAGGTAACTTTGGATTTTTTTTCTATCGAGAAAATTTCATGGAATCATGCTTTCGTCTAACCTAGTAATTAACATTAATCCTCAACTTTACCATATATTTATTTAAAAATTAATGCTGCAATATTTTCGGAATAACGGAGAATCGTGCTAAGCCATTTGAGGTTATATTTCCCCTTAAGCTCCAATTTTTATGTCGGACATATAAAAAGTAAAGTTACAGCCTATATACGTTCCACTGCTGGGCACAGCCTTCCCCTCATTTCTGAGAGGGTATTAGGGCAAGAAAGTGTCCGCCACGCTGCTCCATTGTGTGTTGGCGAACTTCACGTCTTTGATTTTCTTTTTCTTTTTTACATTTCAGGTGGTAAATCAGCAATTAAAATTGCAATTAACAATTTCATTAGTGCCGGCGGGGATCGAACCAGGTTTGCTCACGTACCGTGAAATTTTCAGCAGGCGCTAACCATCTGAGCTACCACGGCTTTCATATGAAAAAAAAACAACGTGCCGACAGTGTTACTTGTCGCGACTATTGTATATTGAGTTGATTATTGTGAAGGCGATTGGCTAGCTACCTATCATGTTCACATTTTTCCATCTAATTCTGTAATGCTTTAGACTCTGCCTATCCCTTTGGGAGTGCCGGCATGACGCGTATTTAATACAGTAGTGAGTATAGCAGGTGACTGTACCACACAACTCACGCACTTACCCAGTATGGCGAAGGTGGTGAGCAGGCCCACGCGGAAGCCCACCAGGAACGAGCCGCCCACCGCCAGCCCGTGCGTGAAGTTGTCGATGGAGTTCGCCATCAGGTTTAGGTACCCGGCCACCTGGAATGCACACACCATTGATTTGGTTTACGTGGTCCTTGTTCGCCGGGGAACATAGAACTATCAATTAAGTACTGCCTCGTTGGTCTAGTGGTTGTAGTAGTGCGACTGCTGATCATGAGGTCCTGGGTTCGAGTCCCGGGTCGGGCCAAAAAATTAATTATTGAGTTTTCCCGTCAAGAAATTCTCAATAGTTGCCCGGAGTCAGGAAGTTGGCGGTGTCTCACCCCCGTGCCCCAGAAAGCACGTAAAGCCGTTGATCTCTCTCCGGTCGTGTCGTTTTACCGTCCCATCGGATTACGAGAGTGAGGAATAGAGAGTGCACCTGTGCTTACGCATACACTTACACTTACACGGCGCAGGACAGGATCATAGGCACTATAATCCTGTCCTGCGCCGATGGCTAGGCTCCGTAGAGGCTGGCCGCCGTGGCCGAAATTTGGTCTGGAGGACATTATTATCATTAACTAAGTACTAGCTGTTCTCCGCGACTTCGTCCGCGTGGAATTTATTACAATTGGTTTTCATGGGTTTTAATTTTGGGCGGTACTATAATTCTTTTTCTGAAATAAAAGTAGCCTAAGTTACTCCTTATAACATCAGCTATCTACCAGTAAAGTCCCGTCAAAATCGATCCAGCCATTTCGAAGAAACAATTCTATAAAAAGAATTGCAATCTGATACCAAACGTAAATTACTGTTCATGTGTTGCATGTAGCCACTTATGGCTACATGCCCAGGCCCATGGACACATGCGGTCAACTTAAAGCTAAGAACGCTATAGGTCATCATCACCCACTCTAAAGGCCAAGATGGAATTCCTCACAGCCTGTTATGGCGGCTTCTCACTGCGTGTGTTATCACCCCGGGCTCGCGCTGAAGGGATTGGCGCGGCGTGGCGCGGGCAGGCGCGGCGCGGCGCATACTATCGCGCGTGCGTGTTTAAAATTGGTAACTTGAAAGGCGCGGCGTGGCGCGGCGCGTGACAAAATAAGACAAAAGCGGCTGAAGCGACAGCGATGCCTTCTTCTTCAGTGGCATTGCTCTATGGCTGGAGGTGGCAATTCGACTTACACGATATCAGGTGCGTTGCGCTAAACAGACTGACTCAGTGGCTCGGAGTTTGGGCAAGCACGCGCCACGCCGCGCCAGTTAGAACGGGTGGCGCGGGGTTCGCGCGTGGCGCGGTGCGCGTACAAATCAACACGGGCGGCGCGGCGCGTGATAACACACGCAGCGAGAAGCCGCCATTACAAATAATTATACCCACCCTCAATATCCTTCAAATCGGAACATAGATGCCAATCTTCCCCAGATAGAAACGGAGTCCCAGTTACCAGAATTGCACAAAACATTGTCGATCCTACTACCTTTTCCTAACTTATTCCCATGATTCCCTATACCACCTTCATTATATCCTTTTGTAATTTCCCGTTCCGTTTCTTTTCTTGAAGAAACGTCGGTTTAACCTCCAAAATCCTGATATTTAAAAAATAAAAAATTTTGAATTAAACATTTGAACTTTTTAACAATTACTTTGCCCGTTGCCTTTTAGCCTGTCTGTGACCAGTAAAACAAGGTTCCGTTCATATATATATATAGGATGCGCCTTCTCACTTTAATATTTCACTATCGTTATACCAAAGATAATATACTACTAGACAGGTTCTACGGCCTTAACTAATTAATTTTCTGTAAGAATAGAATAGAAAAATTTTTTATTCAATGTAGATTTCATGTTGTTATTCATATTGAACGTCATATTTTATTTTATCTCTGGTTCAAAAAAAACCTCTGTCCTGGGAAAGACTAACAAGAAACCCAGCGGGACTTTAAAAAAATAATTTTGTCAATGGTAACAAAATATTTATACAATTTATTTTAGAAATAACTTAGAAGGGACCACCTCAGGCAATAAGACTAATTCTTTGTTTTGTAAACAGCGAACGTTAATTTCGACAAACTAACACTGATTTTGTTTAATAAGGAAACGCCGTAACTGTTTATGTCTACGCACTTTGTCAACGTGACCTAGAAGTTTATTTCTTATAAGTATGCAATTTAAAATCTTATTTGCCTTAAAACAGCTGTGACATAGTTATTGTTCTAATTTCCGGTCTAATAGTAAACGTACAACAAACATCTAATATAAGTCTTCGATTGTATGGCATGTTGAGACTTGAGGGTTGAGGGTAGTTTCCGCTAGTAATGAAGGATGAGAAAATAGAACAGCAAAAACTAACATCTTTCTTCTCGCTCTTCTCCTTGCTGACTTGGAGTGCTTTCTCCCTCGCCTCCCTCAGGAGACAGCGCCCCATCCAGCGGTTGCTGCCCTTGCATTTGACCACACCATTGGAGTTGGATACAGCGCTGCAGCATACGCCTTCACCTGAACGATATATCATAATTTTAGGAAGATAAGTTATGATTGTGATGAAAGATAAAATACATTTACGGATTGTGGGTGTGATTTTTATAGGATAAGATGACAAACGACCACACTCCACCTGAAGGTAAGTGAATGATGTGACCTATAGAAATCTATATTTATCCTCGATTAAGAATCAAAACGGATTTGCGTTTTCACCCATTACACCCCACTACACTCACCATATGAAATCCAGTAGCGTTAAGCTGTTATTTGACGCTGCTATTCCGTGAGAGCGTAGTCTTTCCCCGGTCATTTAAATTTTATAAAAAAAAATTACCATAATGATTTCTTATATTTACGCGAACACTACACATTGATTAAAACTACTTTTACGGATTTTATCGCCTTTATTTTACTTTCAATTACTTTTATTTTTAATTACCGACGTATTGGGCGCTTTCCAGCACCCATGGTCACGGGGGACTGAGGTGACTGACGTCCCGGAGTACCTTCAGCTTTTTTTATTATTATTTATGGTCCGATCTATGCAGAATGAAGTTCATTTTAAAATTCAAAAAATTACCAGTAAAAGTAGTAAGTTTCTACGTTGTAGAGTCACGCTGCAGCTATATCATGGTTGTAGCATGAACGGGTCGGCTCGACCGGGGAAGGACCACGCTCTCACAGAATACCAGCGTAAAATAGCAGCTTAATACTGCTGTGTTTTGTATGGTGAGTGTAGAGATCCGGAGACCCTTTTTTACTGTAAACGAGGCATTCCATTTTAGTCCTCAGGGGTGACAACGCATCTGCATTTTGATTCTTAATCGAGGATAAATGTAGATGTCTATGGGCCACAGCATCCACTTACCATCAGATGGACTGTGGGCTCGTTTGTCACCCTCATTCTATAAAAAAGCACCTAAAGTTACAATTAACAATTTCATCGGTGCCGGCGGGTATCGAACCCGGAATGCTCGCATGTATTAATACTACACATACTAATAAAGCAACTGCTCTTGCCAAGCCGGGCAACTATGGCAAATATCCTCCTTGTGAGACAATATATGGTGGAGACCAATGTTCAGCAGTGGACTTTTGTGAGGATGTACTGATGATGAATGAATGATTATTATACACAATACGTAACGTAATTAACGCACTTTGAGAAAGTAGTTTGTTCAGAATCGTTTACTGAATCGATTCCTATCATTTTTAATATTGGTAATTTTTTATCCCAAAAATAATTAAAACTACGTAAATTACAGTCACACTAAGTCTGTACAGTCAAAAAAAACTGAAATGGACCGTAACTTAAGGTAATAAGACTTTTAAGAGTGCAGTTTTATTTGTATTATTACTAATTCTGTCATTCAATAAAAATAAAGAAAAATGCACTTTATTTCAAGCACGTTAAAGTCTTTGCGTTCGTGGATTTGTACTGTGACCACAACATTCTTCCGGAATTAGTATAACTAATTGGATAAATAATAAGTGCATAAAAATGTGTAAATAAAAATTCAGTGTATGTATTATGATATAACGTAATATACCAATAGGGGTGTCTGATGGTGTGCGTTAATTACGTTACATATTGTATATTTACATATATTATATTCAAACATTACATTCATTTGGATATTTATTTACAAAGTTTATAAGCAGCATGTATATATTTTAAATGTATTTTGTATGTATGTACTTTGTATATATGTATATTTTAATGTATGTGCACTTTATTTATGTATAATGGTCGCACCTGCCAACAATTGTCCTTGGCACCCAGGGTTGACTGGCAGAGAATGCCACATGGCATTAAGTCCGCCCTATGTACCCTTTAGCTTAAGGTGTTACATGTAAATTTTTAAATAAATAAATAAATGATGATAATGATGGATCAAACAAACCTTTAGTATTGTTATTAAAGACGCAGGTGCTGTACAGCTGTTGCGCCGACACTGTCCCGTTCCCTGCGCAGATCCCCTCACCGTTCACTTTCCCTCTGCTCTTCCTCTCCGCAATAAGGAGCTTCTCTATCTCTTCTATTTCAATCTGCTTTATGAGTCCGTTAGACTTTACGTCCTCTTCCGCATCTTCAGCGTCGCCTGCTGCGAAGAGTTTCTCCACGATTATGAAGATCAGCATTCCGAATAAACACCAGAGGCCGCATTTCATTGACACGTGTTCTCCTTCTGGAACAGGGAATTATATTTATCTGCATTTGAACCAAAGTAACGGACGTAGTCCAACGGATCAGTAAGCTGAAGTGGCAATGGGTCGGCCATATGGTTCGGCGACCGACAACCGATGAGGAAGAAAAATTTTCCAGTAGCAGTTTCGTACCGGTATGCGAAATGTTGAGCTGGTAGAATGGAGTCTACTCACTAGTTGGTGTGACGACCTGACGACATGCGGGAAGTAGATGGTTGGGGTGGCTCAGTTAAAGAAATTTTATATTTTATTTTGTAGTAAGAGTCACGTTGACGTGATATTATGGTTGTAGTACGAATGGATCGGCTCGACCGGGAAAGGACTATGCTCTCAGATAATAAATAGCAACTAATAATAGCATCTTAAAACTACTGTGTTTCGTATGGTGAGTGTGAAAACCGGAAACCCTTACTACTGGAATTTAGACATTCCATCTCAGTCCTGAAGGGTAACTCTACGCTTCTGCATTTCGATTCTTGATTGAAGATACAGTATCTACGTTGATATAGAGAATAAGAAACTCGATGAACTTAAAATAAAAAATCTTTTTGGGGCTTCAGAAGAGTTCTTTTATATTTTATCGCCACTGACGTACCTTTCAATGGTACTTTTTCTACACCCATCGTTGCTTTCACATTGACTGTAGTAAATAGTGTGGTTTGTTGATTCAACTAATAGTTCAGGATAACTAAAAAATAAATTTAGTCACTCATATTCCATAGAAGAACATGGCAACAAAAAAAATCTCATAGTTTCTTGCGTTTCTTTCTCCCTACTACGGCGGGAAGCTTGCGTAGGTGACAGCACGCTGCTTTGTGGCACACCACCATGGATAGGCTTGTAATCGGAGCATGCACCGTCTATTTACGATATTGATGCTCCGATCTGCAAGGAAACTGGTGATCCAATTGCACAATTTCTCGGGAAACTCATAGGAAGGAAGCTTCGAAAGAAGCGCTTTGTGTCAAACCCGATCGAAGGCTTTCCTAATGTCCAAACTAACGGCCGAGGCCTCCCCTTAGAAAAAGGATCTCAGTTGAAAAAAGACAAATTGCTAAAACTGTGTCAAGCTCGTCTTATGATAACCATTTTGCTTTAAACAAACACCAGACACAGTATATTAGATAAGCGGTGTGCAGCAAGAAAACAAATAATAACATACGGTTAATTAATGTCTGCGACTGTTGTATTACTCATATAGAGCTGCCACAGTCATATCTTTAACGTACGAGTAAATATTATGTCATGTGCTTGATTTGAATATAGTACATTGAAGATTGAATATCCGTGATTGAGAGCCGTGGTAGCTCAGACAGTTAACGCTCGCTGTAAATATAACAGAACGCGAGTAACCCGGGTTCGATTACCGCCGGCACCAATGAAATTGTTAATTGCAATTTTAAGTGCTGATTTACCACGTGCTCGGCGGTGAAGGAAAACATCGTGAGGAAACCTGCATCTCTAAGAAATGAGAAAAAAATATTTCGAAGACATGTGAAGTTGGCCAACACGCATTGGGGTAGCGCGGCGGACACTTCCATGCCCTAAAACCCTCTCAGAAATGAGGGGAGGCCTGTGCCCAGCAGTGGGATGTATATAGACTGTAAGTTTACTTTTTTACTTTTACATTGAATATAGTACATCACGGCTTCTAAAGTCTGTGCTCAGAATTGAGAAGCCGTTAACGTTACAGCTTAAACTCCACTGCTAAACACAGGCTTCCACCATAGATTGCCTCATAGGAGGGATATTTGCCATAGTTGCCACGTTTGGCAAGCGGGTTGGCAACCGCAGTATTTTTTTGTGGTCGGTATTATGGAGACGCTGCGGCCCATCTCGTGATTTGTTTCCCTCTGTCGCCTCTTACGACACCCACGAGATGATATGGGGTACTGGATATTCTCACACCACCACTACACAGTAAAAGACAAACAGACAAGAAGTCATTACGAGGATTTTTTAATAGAATAAAGGTGACAAATGAGCACACAGTCCACCTGATGGTAAGTGGATGCTGTGGCCCATAGACATCTAAGTCTATCCTCGATTTAGAATTAAAATGCAGATGCGTCGTCACCCCTGAGGCATAAGATGGAATGCCTCGTTTCCAGTAAAAAGGAACTTTTAAATGATTTAACTTTTTTTGGTAATTTTAAATAGCTTTTTACTTTATTAATAATTCAATTTTTTTGACCGTTTTGTTGTGTTTTTTTCTGATCTGTGGAAATAAGGGATATAAAGCTAGGAAATAGTTACATCAAAAATTTGATCCCCTATTTTTCTGACCCTGGGCGTGGGAATGTTTTCACTAAGTTTATATAAAGACCGTATTCGAAATTTTAACATATTCAACAAAAAAAAAAATAAAATCGTTTGTCAGTTGACAAGGTTATCGTGTGTACAAAAACCATAAGCGAACTGAGAACCACTTTTTTATGAAGTCGGAAAAAATTAATAAGTTGTTTTAATTTTTTTATCTTTGCTAAATCAATTAACGCTACTTTCTCTACGGAAAACAAATTGATTTTTCTCTATTTTCAATTGAGAATATATTTTTTTACATTATGAATATATTCTTCTTCAATACGAACTTCGATTCTTCAAATACGACACAAAACGACATTTATAAAATATAAATGGGTAAAAAATTATACTACCACAACAAAAGTAAAAGAAATATTTTGGAAAAATATTAATAAGTTATATATTTAATGAAATAGAGCAACTTCACGTGCGATCTCGAACGTATTTATGCACGTGGGAGAGCGCCCCCTCTAATGGCTGGAAATGTAAAACAGCACAGCTAGACGGAAGCCTTAACGCTTTGACATTCCAATTGACCTAGGGCTCTTCTATAGTCGATAGACTTTGTGGCAACCATTATTTGCACCACGGAATATATTTTTATATACGATGGTTATAACCATAGATACTACATCTTCCTAAGATATATAAATTACATGTCAAGTTGTTTGTCCGCGATGGACTCCTAAACTACTTAATCGATTTTAATCAAATTTGTACACCGTGTGCAGTTTGGTCCAACTTGAGAGATAGGATAGTTTTTTTTGCCCATGAGTGACCCACAAATTTTTTTGCGAATTTAAGGATTTTTAATAGGACATGACTAAGGGTCGTCGAAAAGGACAGAACAACGTCTGCCTGGCAAGCTAGTTATATATACATTATAGTATTCTACGGTTATAACTCCATTACCTCTGATACGCCTTTTAGGACGCGCACTGTATATGTAATGGTTATAAGTTATAACCTAGGAAGGGTTTATTTTTTTCTTTTTTATCAATAAACGTTCTAAGGTCGCATAGATGTAAACTTAAAGCAGAAATCAGAAAAATAAATCTACGAGTATATATAGTTGATTGTGGATTCGAATTCACAACTAAGTTCCAGCGCGTACCTAAATCATGAAGTTTATCAAGTTTCACAATTGAATTCTACGGTCCATTAAACTATTATAGTCTCTGTTTTATAAAAAACTTCGATTCTAAAAAACCTATCAAACAGAGAGACGGTAGGGATGGGCAAGTGAAAAATATATCTTATCGATATATATATCGTGTGATAAATATCGATTTAAAAATCGAATCGATCGAATTTAAAAAGGTATTACTGGACGGTTGGACGACGACAAAAAACGACATCAGCACACAAATGCTTTTGTAGCCAAATGTTTTGTCGATTAATACAACTCTTTAATATAATATATCGAAATTGACTTGATTGAATAAAAAAAAAACAATTTCGATACTTCGAAATAAATATCGAAGATCGATGTATCGCGATTTAAAAATATCGATATTTCGATATTTTTTTACACAAGCTTACATCAAAATCGGCTGCTGCAAAATTTGCTGTTGTCGTTTTCTTTTCGTCGTCTATCCGTCCAGTACTACCATTTTGGGCCTTATTCTATATCATGCAAAACATGACGATATATCGATACGATATATTATATCGATATATCTTTTCCCTTGACCATCTCTATTTTGATGAAATTTGATCGGATGCCTTAATGATTTAGATCCACAGTTTGGACTCGGTAGGTGGAGCTGTAGTCGAGGTCTAGACCCTACAGACTAAAGCCATGCTCAACTTATTATAAGAGCAGGTATGCATCTAAAATCTTTTCCAACCAACAACATGGTTTCAAGCGCGTAGGTGTGCGTCTTGCAGTAGACTTTCACGGGCTATTAAGATGGCAAGAGGATAGATGTGTGCGCGAGCGTGAGTACTGAGTACGTGTCAAGAAGCTGATGGTTTCGGCCTCAACGACTATACAGCCCGGATGTGTGGTCGTTGTTTCGGCCTACACTTGAAATTGAAACGTCCGAAGTATGGAGTCTAGTCTAGTCTAGAGGAGTACCAACTCCCATAGTAGAATAGTTGAAAAAGTGGTCATCTGTAAGCAGTAAATAACAGCTCAAAAACTCTCCACAACAGCGCTGGAGTAGCTACTAGGATGAAATGAACTTAGCAGTTGTCGACGGTTTAAGTGTGTTGCTAAACTGCTCAGTAGTTCTAAAATCTAAAATAATTTTATTTAGTAAATATAACCTTGAAAAATTCCTCTATCCCACTACTATTTTTCGGTGCGTTCTTTAAAATTTACCCCGTAGTTATAGTAGCGCCACCCTTATTTAACGGTTTTCTATGGACACTTTTTAATACACAGTTTGTACTCCTTACTTCGATACACTCCATAGTACGAAGCCCACCAACAAAGAAAGATAGACTTTCTGTAGGACTAAGCACAATGTTTGTTTATTATATTGATTAGTACACCGGTCTTTATGAATGCGACGACACTTGATAATAAATTGTGCCAGTAATATAGCCAGTAACACATTTCTTTGTTTACATTACTTTTATCCTCATGACGTAGACTTGGAACACAAAACCTATGCCAACACGCGGCCAGCGGTCGTATCGTAATGAATCACTTTAGTTTATTACAATAGCAACTCTTTTCCAAACGAGATAAGGTTTATATTTTATTTTATTGTCTACCACTAGGAACTGAATTTAATATCAAAATTTTCAACGTTCAATTTCGAACTTAGTACAGAACAAAACAAAGGTAGATATTGCTCGCAGTAATTATACTGATTTTGATAAATTTGCAACACAAAACCTTTAGTACACGTGTACATTTGACATAAAATAGGAAGGATGATGAGTGTGTTGCTCTTGACAATGGAGTGGAGTTTGTTACTGTGTAAATTGTCCTAATGTACTAATTATGTACACAATACACACACACATAATCTGAAGGGCGCCCTAATAATCCGTATGACTGTTGACTGCAGTAGTAAAGTAGGTAACTACTAGGGTCGCCTGCTTCCGTTTCATGTTTTAGGCCCACCCCACACTACATACGGAATTCCGTTTCGGAAGTCGGACACACACATACGGAATTCCGTTTCGGAAGTCGGACACACACATACGGAATTCCGTTTCGGAAGTCGGACACACACATACGGAATTCCGTTTGGCCAGCAAAATGTCGAACGGAAAATTATCGTATGTGTGTACGGGTCCTTGATTTTAAATGGACTTACTGCGTTCGGAATTCCGGATCGGAATTTCGAAACGGAATTTCGTATATATGTGGCGGAGCCTAGAGGTTTTAATAAGATTAAATAAAGGTCATCAGATGGAAATTAAATATATCATATAGTTTTCAATAAAATGTTGTTGTGGTTTCAGTAACATAATAATACACAATGTAATTTGGTTTGCCTCTTTAACATCGCGGGCCACCTTACACTGATTTTTTAATTTCTTTAACCTCAATTAGCAGAGGGAATGTCAAATAAGCGTTAATTTTTCTTCTTCTCTATTAAATACTTCAAATTAGGGGACTAGATTTATTTTTGGGTCTAAAATAGAGGACTTCCGCTGGAATAAAGAACGTCTGGCAACCTGAGTATCCTACAGATGTTTAAAATGCTTACTAAAAGCAAATAACTAACAAAACTACGACATCCTATATTTTAATAAGCATATTAAATATTGGTAGGATACTTCATCTACATTTGTCCTCGATTAAGAATCAAAGGCACAGATGCGTTGTCACTCCAGTAAATACGGTGGACTGTGTGATTGTATGTCACTCCCATTCTATAAAAAAAAAATCGTATCCAATAAAAAGGTTCTCCGGTTCTCTACGCTAACCGTACGAAACAGAGCAGCATTGAGCTGCAAGTCTGTGAAAGCGTAGTCTTTTCCCGATCGAGCCCACGCATTCGTAGTTCGTACTACAACCATAATATAGCTGCAGCATGACTGTACCAAGTATCTCTTCTTCTTTCTTCATGAACCCTGAAGGTTTTACCTGGTAGGTATTTGAAACCTTATTATAAAATTAGATAATGCTTGTACCTTTTTATTGCATATAGTGTAGTGCTTTTATCCAGTATAACCACAGAAATAGTAATAATAATATTATTACTATTTGTGAGTATAACATACTTAATAAAATAACGTATGTTAAGTACCTATGTGCGTAATGATATTAATTGTAGCAAAATTATACGAGCAACTGTTTAAACTTTGAAAATGCTATCGTATATTAGGTTTGCGATCATTAAATATTATTCATATTTTTATATTTTATTGATATTACATAGAAAGTTTAACTAACACGTGAAACAACTAAAAACTAAAAAGATTCTGTTCGACGAAGGTCATTGTGATATGTATAAATAAAGGACCATTTAGAGAATCTTAACGATTTTCATATCAGCATTATATGTGGTAAAATCACAAGAAAGCTATGTTATGATTGTAGCACGAAATTGGTCCACGGAGGGCCACGTTCTCACAAAATATTAGCGTAAAAACGAAGATTGATTCTACCGTGTTTCATACTGTGATTGTAGAGAACTAGAGACCACTTGTTACTGAAAACGAGGCATTCCTTGTTAGACTTCACGGATGACAACTCAGTTGTATTTTAATTCTTAATAGAGGATAGATGTAGATGTGTCTGTGAGCACAGCATCAACTTACCATCAGGTGAACTGTGTATAGTTTGTATTTGTTTTTAAAGAAACGTTACATCTACTCTAGAACTTTATCCTTTATCGTGGAGGCAGTTTTTACACATACATTTTACGAGGCCAAACATCCAGATGACTCAAACAATTATTTGTAGTTCATACAAATACGTGTTCCGCGTGGGATTTGAACCCGTGGCCCTCAGCGTGGTAGCGCATTGCTAAACCATTACGTCACAGAACCATCACCGATATTCTATAAAAAGATAAACTGTACGGCTCATATCTATATTCACCTTTAGTGCTTGCGAGGTCATGCTGCCATGCTTCAGGGAGGAGATGAAGAAATACATCACCCAGGAGCCCACCCACTGCAAAGCTAAGAAGTATCCTGAGTGTAGCGGCACCAGCTGCAACAAAAAGTGTTACATTAATAAAATAGGACTTGCACTTAACACTAACATCCTAAATCTAGAGCCTTGCTAACTATATTGGTAGATACTATTTGCTAAAATCTCATAGAATATATTAGAATTTAGGCACGGTTTACATTTTAAGAAGTGTCAAGTGCGAGTGACAAGTGATAAGTGAGAATAAAATACGCACTTGTCACTTGCCACACGCACTTGTCACTTTTCAAAATGTAAACCGGGCCTTACGCGCGGACGCGACACGGACATACTAACATATCATCATCATCACCCTGCGGCAGTCTACCATTAGAGATAGGCCTCTTCTAAGGCGCGTCATTTAGCCCTATCTTCGGCTATCCTCCCACATTCACTTGCTTCCAGCTGCAGACTGAAAAGACTCTCAGCTAAATAACGAATGGTTACACGTCGATCTACCAATCTACAATTTTTTCGATTGTTTTTAACGTATTCTTGCGTAGTGGCCGTTGTTGTGCCACCCGTAGCGAGTGCTTAGACCGTTCAACCCAAGTGAGTGTCGTCAATACGGGTGGTTCTGTCGCGTTTAAATTCAGCGCAACAGTATGTACTGCCACGCCTGTAATGACGGAGGTCTGTAAAGTAGACTGCAGTTCTTCAATAAAAAAAACACATACTTTCAATAAAAAATAAATCAGGCAGAAATATTTAACAACCGCACGAATTTCGAGTTTCCGCATTTTGCCATCAAATGTGAAGTTTGAAAAAAAATTGGGTACAGTATTTAATTTAGTTTTCTGGCCTTAGCTCCTAATTAAAATTCGAAAAAAAAATGACGATTTATATCATTGATAGTGTCTTATACCGAAAACTTATTGATCAACCTAGATGCCTGCATATTACTAACATAACTTTTGGGCTCTGTTACAGTCGAATAAAAAGGAGCTATTTATACGAAGTACCCGCATCAGGAACAAAGTAACAAATAAAACTCAACGGGTAAGTAAAGCGGGTTACATACAAAATGATATCGGTGGCGATCTAGGGTGGGAAGAATTCGGGGTTTTATTGGGGCAGACCCTCTACACGGGGTATAGGGTCTGTCTCGATAAAACCCCTGCCGAGTAGTGCGCGTTCGGACTTTGGACTTTGGAGCGGAACGCATGTGAGGGAAAGCGCTTCAAAATGCCTCCAACTCTCTCAAAACACCAACGTGTTGATTTGACACTAGCCCTCTTGGTTAATTTATTCGAAAGTAGGGCAGAGCCCTAACAGATGGAGTGATGACAAAACATGTAGGGAGTCGATGGAGAGAGGTGGATCAGGATTTTAGCAGTGGACTTGTGAACTTGTGAATACCAGCGTAAAATAGTAGCTTAATGCTGCTGTGTTTTGTATGGTGAGTGTAGAGAACCGGAGACCCTTTTTATTGAAAACGAGGCATTCCATCTTAGTCCTTAGACTTAGACAACGCATCTGCATTTTGATTCGTAACCGAGGATAGATGTAGATGTCTATGGGCCGCAGCAACTACTTACCATCAGGTGGACTGTGTGTTCGTTTGTCATCCTATTCTATAAAAAAGGCTGTAATGATGTCATAGTGTAGCCCATCACCTATCCATGCCATCCATCCATCAGTAGCCATGAATTCAATTCGATAGTGGTATCCGGTCGCAACATTTTATTACACGATCAGATCCACTTATGTTTATCTGTCATTCGATTTCTTTTTATCTTATCGAACAGGAATAGAACATTGTTAGACTTCTACTACTAGTATCTATTAAAACTTTAGTCCATTATACACATACATAAATAGAGTATACATATCAAACTCGTTTGTTTATTATAGACTAGCTGTGCTAGCGACTTCGTTCGCGTAGAATAATTTTTGGTAATTTATTTTTATATTATTATACTTCCCTATTTGAATCGGATTTTGTTCACAATGTTATGGGTTTTAATTTTTTTTTGCGCAGAACCCTAATTATTTTTATAATACTATAACATCCGCTTTCTGCCAGTAAAAGAACCGTCAACATCGGTCCAGCTGTTTCGGAGATTAGCTGGAACAAACAGACAGACAAACAGAGAGACAAAAATGTTAAAAATTTTTTTTTGTTACAACTGGTGATGCAACGAATACCACTTTTACGAATACGAATATCAAACCTACTAATCGGCGAATACGAATACGAATATCTCGCCATGGTAATAAATAACTAGGTAATTCATTTGATGATTTTCTATTGTTCTAATAATTAGAATTTACAATAGGCAAGTTTTTATTTAAAAAAAAAAACATAAAATTTGTAGATTTTCTGGTTTTAGGCGATTTCCTTTTTTCAGTCTGGATGTTCCCAGCCGTTGAAAAAGCCTTTCCAAAGCGACTGTACGTGGTTTTAGTAAAAAATATTTTTGGCTGAGTTTTTTCAGCCTTGGATAATGGACGCCTTGGATGGGAGCCCCGTTGTTGCAGCTAAGGACCTATGCACAAGTCGTACTTTTTCGCGCCGACGACGCGCGTTTTCCAAGTCTGCCAGTAATTAGAGTTGCGTACAAAAGTATTAGTTTTTAATTATTTGTGATGAGCATTCGCCGAATACGAATATTCGGTAAATGTCTACTATTAATTATTTATTATTATATCACGAATATTCGTATTCGTATTCGTTGCGGCATCATTAGTTATAACTACCTACCGTACCTGTATACTTCCATATGCATTTGGTAAAAAGCTGTTATTTTGACATTACAAACATATACTTCAAATTTAATTATTTTTAGAGACGTAACACGAACGGGTCGGCTCTCTATACCCTTCCGACTGGAACTAAGCACTGCTGCTTAGTGGCAGGATACCTGATCCTGGTGGAGGGTGGAACTCACCCAGACGGACACCTGGGCAAGGAAAGGAGTACCATACCGACTTCAAAAAGGAGAGGTATTCAATTCGACCGTACGTTTTATTTTATGTGTTACCTCATAACCTTTCTCTGGGTGAACCTTTTTTATCCGAAAGCTGTTATTTCTCGTGTGATCCCATATAAATTAATTCAAGATCTGACCAGTAGTTTTTGAGTTATCTTTAATAATACGTAAATGATTTCCAATACATTGAATCGGTCGTATTGATGTCGGTTGTACAAAATTTTTAATATTAACACTTGTTTAATTCCTATATCATGCGGATTTATCGATTACAAGTGTCGCTTGTAGTAGATAGCATCTATTACTTTTATCGGATGATTTTTTGTTGTAATCTTTAACAAGTCGTGTTGTGATTTTTATGAATTGATATAATCCTTTCAATAATGTTGATAATAAATCGGTATCTTTACGTCTTTTGGCTAATAAACTTTTACAGTCTACCAACGTTCACGAATGGGTTGGCTCAACCGGGGAAGGACCACGCTCTCACAGAATACCAGCGTAAAATAGCAGCTTAACACTGCTGTGTTTCGCATCGTGAGTGCAGAAATCCGGACACCATTTTTACGAGAAAAGAGACATTCTATCTTAGTCCTCATGGGTGACAACGCATCTGCATTTTGATTCTTAATCGAGGATAAATGTAGATATCTATGGGTCACAGCATCCGCTTACCATCAGATAGACTGTGTGCTCGTTTGTCACCCTTACTGTTCAAAAACGTTCACTGCTGGGCTCATAGTGGGAAATTTGCCATATTTGCCACGCTTTGCAATTTTCCATTTTTTTACTATTTTCCACTGTTATCAGGAAGATACTGTTGCTCCTGATAGGATGTTTTGGGGAATAGGATATTCTGAAAACGCCACCAAGCGACTCAATGAAATCAAACACAAAATATCTTTATACTTCGTAAGAAATTAAAATTTCGTTTGCCAAATATGATTCTAGTGTGCCGTACCAAAGTCATCAAAACAAAGCATTATTATAGGAACGTATAACTTATATTTTGTTTAATTTTACATCATACATAATTCTAAAGAATGATACACAAACATATGATCCGAAAAATCGAGCAATTAGTTGAGCTTTAAGTTTTTTTTTAAATTAAATAATGGTACCACCGTTACACAGTTGCATTTTCTTCTGTATCGTTTACATGTGAATTGCCTAAGGATAAACATCCAGACCCGGAACAATCATTCATAGGCTTTACATATTCTTGTTCCGTGCGGGGTTCTAACCGGTCCTCAGCGCCCCAAATCAATGCCTTGCCACTGCACCATGGAGCCGTCAATTATAAGAATAATATATTATTATTTTCTGTTGAACATTTTCCTGAGAAAAATCATCATCATCATTACAGTCCTTCACAAGTACAATGCTGAACATAGGCCTCCTCCAAGGAATGCCACAATGCCCGGCCCCGAGCCACCTGCATCCATCGATTTCCTGCATGTCTTACCAGGTCGTCACTTAATCTAGTGGAGGGTCGCCCTACACTTCGCCTACCGGTACGAGGAATACTGAGAAAAATGCTTATACATTACTTCTCTCTCGTCTTTGGTGGTTAGGTACAATCATGCATACAATTTAGGTCTATTTAATCTTTTTTGTAATTTGTATCCGATAAAACGTTTTAAACTTTTAGCAGATCGATACGTTCTGCTTATCTCTATAATTACTGTCATAAAGTATATTGGGATAATCTTTTTTTTTTACTTGTTATGTGCTAGTCTTGGCATCAATTCAAAAATTAATATTTAAAAGTGTTAGTTTTAAATGACATTGAATAAAAAAAATTATGCCCGGTTATGTTATTACTATAACATATGTTTTAGTATCATTTTAACAAAGTTATTTTATACGATGCGTTTTATTACACACGAAGTGTAGGAAAAACTGTAACACCTTCGAGTCGAGGCTTTATGTGTTTTGCTATAGAAACCATGTTTACATTCAATTTACACCAAAAAAAGTATAACTGTTATAAAAATGTAAAAATAATTATGCAACACAATAATTTTAATATTTCTTTATTTATATAGAGAAAAAAGTCCTTTCTACCGGCCGCATTGGGAAGCTATAAGTACAGCGAGCTAGAGAGGGACTGCGCTCGGAATTTCGTGTAATAGAATCCGTAACGAAGATATACGCAGTGGAACTAGAGTAACCGATGAGTAAACTATATTGGGAGGAATTGATAACAGATGAAAATAGTGCACAAATAAATTTCATACTTTTTATCACGACCGATTATCACGAGGGTGTTATCGGTCATTTCTATATCAATGAAATATGGTCCATTATCTTCCTCTCGAGTTTATCATTGAGTACCATTGCTCACGTACCGATAAGGGGACAAAGACGATTTGATAAAAACATTTTTTTAAATAAATAATGCGATACCTGTTTTATGTCCATAGTACCCACAAAAATAGCCCACTTATTATTCAAAAAGGTACCATTTCAGGTTTCAACTATGTTTAAAATTTTAGCACAGCGTATAGTCAGTTTAAAATCGATTGCAAAATTTTTACTGGACAGACAAACAAGTGATTTTATATTGCATTAATTGACTGCAGTTCTGAGCTATGTTTAAAAACTTAACTCTCTTAATTTGGAAGTTTTATACGTGATAGAGCCATGCTGCAGTTATATTGGTAGTATAGTTGTAGCACGAATGGGTCGGCTCTACCGGGGAAGGACCACGCTCTCACAGAATACCAGCGTAAAATAGCAGCTTAATACTGTTGTGTTTCGTATGGTGCGTGTAGAGAACCGGGGGTCCTTTTTACTGGAAACGAGGCATTCCATCTTAGTCCTCACGGGTGACAACGCATCTGCATTTTGATTTGTAATCGAGAATAGATGTAGATGTCTATGGGCCACTTACCATCAGGTGGACTGTGTGCTCGTTTGTCACCCTATCCTTTAAAAAAAAGTTAATTTAAAATTGAATGCTAAATTTGTACCGAACATACAAATAGAGAAGAAAGCGAGATAGTATAAACGTGGCAGATGTGTAATCCGTGTCTCCGGTCTAAGGTGGAATACCCTATTTCACTAAAGAGAACGCGAACTACGAAATTCAAACACAACAACGAAACATGGCAGCATTATGCAGAGTATTTAAAATAATATACCATATATTACACATTTTAGCAATGTGTTCTACATACTTGAGAGATTTAGTATCAATCTAATTACTATTACTTATACATGTGACCGGTGGTGGCTTAAGGTTAAGCGCTCGCAATAAAACTATACATAGTCAGAGGTACAGAAACATGTAAAAAAGGAATAAAAAAATAACGTTTCATTTGTTATTATATCTTATATAAAAAAATACAATAAATATTTAAAGGGTGATCTGGCAAACAGTTGTGTCAAGAATAAGAGTGCTATAATTAAAAAAATTACACTTACGTTTAAAATCACACTCGTTTTTTGTAAGAAAAACCCGAGTATCATTTTGACCACACGACTGAAGTAAAACTTCTTTAGCTCCATCTGTATGTATGTATATATATATATATATATATATATATATATATATATATATATATATATATATATACATATATATATATATATATATGCATATATCGCACACCTAGATCTAAAGAGAGCTAATTCAAAAATCTCATTTTTTGAGTTACGCTTTCCATCGAATTAAATAACTCACTACCAAGCACCCAATAAAACCGATTCAAAAATAGTTCTATTACTCAACGCTAGATGATGTTAAAAGCCCATTTTGTTGAACGAGCGAGCCACGCTTTCCCCCACTAAAACAGGGACATCGCTAGTTGTAACCAGTATTTTATGCGGAACGCACGTGCCCGTTGTAAACAAATCGGAGTTATTTTGAGTTGATTCCCTGTTCTTGAGTTAAACAAAGGTTTTTATTTAACATTATTTTGAGTTGTTGCTGTTTTTATGGTTAGTGCTGAGTAAATAAAAGCTACATTTTGAGTTGAACCAGTGTTGATAGTAAGGTAGGCAATGTTTTTGTTTTTATTTTGAATTGTTACCATGTTATTATAAATTTTTTGAATTTGTAGTTAAGCCTGTTTTGTTGAGTCATTTTTTAAACTCGTATATTTCTTTATAAAACAAATGAAATTGAACTTTTTTGCCAGAGGTGATTGGAGTCTGCTCATCTTAATAATATTTTATTTTTATCCCAGTAACTACACAGTTTGTTGTGTTTTTACTGAACAGTTTTTAAGTTAGAGCTGTTTAGATGGTTTATTTGTTTTCTTTTACTATTTCAGAAAAATAATGAATCGTGGACGGTTTTTAGTAAACATGGTTGAAGAAAGGGACAAAGAAAACATCAGCCCTAGCTTACTAACCCAACCAGATACTAGACAGGAGTTTGAACCAATAATACAAAAGGAGAGAGATTCATCTAACGAAACTCATGCAGCCTTATCCGTGGATGGTAAATCTATTCCGAGCACATATAAACAACAGCAGGCTAGTACACCAAATTATTATATTTCACCAATCCAAAGTGACCAAAGTGATTTTGATGACTCAGGTGAGGATCCCAATTACCAATTGATTAATAAAAGTAAGACACTATCTCAGATCGTACCTTTTGGTTCATTGCTGTCTTCATCCAGCACCAGCAGTAGTAGCTCTAAGAGCTCATCACGTTCTAATAGCTCGTCAGACACGGAAAATGATAGTGCGCATTTACAGCTTGACCCTCAAAGTACTACGGTAGCGGAAATTAATTGCCAAGAGCTCGTTATAAAAGAAAAAAAGGGTAAAAAGAGGGTACGAAAACCAACGATGTGGAAGTCGAAAGTTGCGAAAGTGCTGAGAAATTCTGGTAAAGCCTACCAGTCTATGTCAAAATCAAAATTACAAGTGCCAGAGAGAAAAGTCGGCCTCCCCTGTGGAGAAAAATGTCGGCTAAAATGTAAAGATAAGATCAATGAAATATCAAGGCAACAGCTTTTTGATGCATTTTGGGGACTCGGCAATCTTGAAAGGCAGAGAGAATTTATAGTGCGACACTCACAAAAAATAAAACCTAAATATCGATACTCAAGCACACAAGATTTTAGAGCTCTTAACACTGCGTTTTATTTTGAGGTTGCTGGATCCAAAATTAGAGTTTGCAAACCGTTTTTCAAATCGACTCTCGGGATGAGTTATAAAGCTATACAAACGGCACTTTCCAAGGTCTCTGAATCAGGAGTCATACAAGGAGATTTGAGAGGAAAACACGGCCATCAACCAACTATTGATCCACAAATCAAACAGAGCGTTATTGATTTTATAAATTCTATTCCAAAGATTGAGTCTCACTACTTGAGAGCTCAAACGAAAAGACAGTATATTTCAAGTGAGAAATCATTGGCGGATATCTACAGAGATTACAAACAACTTCGTGAAAAGGATGGTTTAGCTATTGCCACGTCTTCCACATTCAACAAGATATTCAACACTGAATTCAACATTTCTTTTTTCGTACCAAAAAAAGATCAATGCAATCTGTGCGAAAGGTATAAGAATTCAGACTCGGAAGAAAAACGCAACTTAAGCCAAGAGTATGAACAGCATCAGAAAGAAAAAGTTTTGGCAAGAAATGAGAAAGATAATGATAAAAGTAGGGCCGATGGTACTATCGTAGCAGTTTACGACTTGCAGGCAGTTTTGCAGATTCCAAAGGGACAAATATCACTATTTTTTTATAAATCCAGGATCAACTGTTTCAATTTTACCATCAGCGATTTAAGGGCAAAAGAAGTTATGTGCTACTTTTGGGATGAAACCGAAGGAAAGAGAGGACCTATTGAAATTGGCAGCTGCATACTCGACTACGTTAAAGCTCAGGTAGACCAAAATCCTAATAAAGAAATTGAAATAATTTTCTACTCGGACAATTGTGGCGGTCAACAAAAAAATAAGTTTCTGTTGTCTGCCTATGCCTACGCTGTCAACAAGTTAAGAGTCAAGTCTATTACTCACAAGTTTTTCATACGTGGACACTCACAAAATGAAGGTGACAACGTCCATAGTGTCATTGAGAAACAAATTAAAAGATACGTGCAGTCGGGTCCAATCTATATACCAGAGCAATATAAAACGTTGATTGGTACAGCAAAAAAGACTGGAAAACCTTACACAGTCGTAGAAATGACGCATGACAAGTTTTATGATGTTAAAGCTTTGCAAGAAACGTGGGGCACAAATTTCAATACAGACGAAGAGAGAAATCAAGTTAAGTGGCATGACTTAAAGGTTCTTAGGGTTGAAAAAGATCACCCTGAAGGGTTTTTCTATAAAACATCATTTACAGAGGAAACGTTTAAGAAAGTTTGTGTGCGAAAGAGGATTCTTCGCCTAAGAGGATCCGGATCGGCCATAGCTATAGATCAATCGTTATTTTCAATTGTTTTAACACATGCATACACTGAAAAAATTGCATTGTCTGATGCAAAAAAAAAGACATAAAAGAATTGATTGATAAGAACGTCATTCCGAAATCCTATTATGATGTTTATTATAAATATGTATTGGGTGATACTGATAATTGACTGCTTTATTCTTATTGAAGTGTTTGCATTCTTAACTACCTACTAAGAATGTGTGTGTTCCTCATTATGTTTATGTTGTGTTACTATTTTATTATGATAATTTTATTTGAACCTACTAGGTAATTAAGGGTCATAAAAGGCTGTATTTTTTTATAGAATATATTAGGTATAGGTATATTATTAATAAAAAATATTTGATTTGATTACATAATTTAGTATTTTCTTGCTAAGTCATCAACCAATATACCCCTACTGCTGGTCACTGACCCCTCTATCAGTTGGATTTTTATTGAATTAATTCTAAATGCTGCTATATTTAAATTAATATTGACTCTTCAAAAGGGAGCCAACTAGGAACTTAATTCACCAACACAGGTTAAACTCCAAATAAAAAAAATATATACATACATTTGTTAAGCAATACGGAAATAACTACAAAACTCCAATTTTCAGACTCAATTATGATTAAAATACATGATTCATTATGACATCTTTCCTCTATTTGCATTTAAAAAGATTTGATCAATTCAGAAAACTCCTGCGGGGCACAGGGACACTGTAATCAGTTTATCACCTTTTCTGAAAAAAATGATTTTTTGAGTTAATCGCTGTTTAGATCTAGGTGTGCGATATGTATAATATATATGTACATGCATATGCATTATACGTAATATATTAATTTTCAACAAATATTTAAATTTATTATCGCCTTCCTTCCATAATTTGTTATTATTATTATTATACCCGAAAATTTACAAAACATGAACTTTAAAATGAATTTAAATTTTATTCACTTTAAACGTAGAACAATTAATGTATTGCAACAAAATATTAATTCATAAAATTGTTTAAACGAAATGAAATTACGAAAAATAACTGGCTATGAGAGAAAGAGAGAAAGAAAATTGCGCGCGCACTGATCTCTCTTGCATATATCTCTATCTCTATGTCTACACTCAACTCCTGTTCGCCTCGCCTGACCACATTTTTCGTAACGCTTTTCGTTTTTCGTAATGTCACGCGTTCGCCAGCTTATTCCCCAAGTCAAGCGTGCGTAAAGAAGTTTTACTTCAAAAAGTAAAAAGTAAATTATTTTTTTTTAAAAAATGGACAAACAAATACATAAAAAAGTATACTTTTCTATTTATTCCGGATGACCAATTTTTTTTGACGGTTACCGCTTGGACTCAATACGCGAACAAATTGGGTTCGATCCGGCGAGCAGCACCAACGAAATTGTTTCTTTCTTTGGTGGTGTACTTGTTTATAAACTTCTTCACAATATGATCGTTAATGCGTTACATTGCGAAGAATTTGCAGGTTCAGCAAGCAGAACTGAGGTGACGATATTATCTCAAGGCGCCTAAGCCATCTACTGGTTAAACTGTAGGCTACTTTTATACGTGATAGAGCCACTCTGCAGATATATTAGTAGTACAGCTGTAGCACGAATGGGCCGACTGGGGAACGGACATAGAATACCAGCGTAAAATTGAAGCTTAACGCTTCTGTGTTTCGTATGGTGAGTGTAGAAGAACCCAAGGCCCATTTTGCTGAAAACGAGGCATTCTATCTTAGTCCTCACGGGTGACAACGCATCTGCATTTGCATTTGTATTTGAGGACAGATGTATAGTGCATTGGGGTTGGGATCGGTGATGGGGTAAGACCGTAAAATTCAAATTTTTGGTGAATTATGCTATATTTTTGAAAGCTAGCAATATGGTACAAGACTCCATTTTATTCTGCCCCGACCCCAAGTTTCAGGCAGTCGCTCCGAAAAGTAGGGCGTGCGCTGCGCAGTATTTTATAAAACAAGGTAATTTTTGAATTGTTTCGTCTGTCCGGTCTTTCCCTATCACTTTTATTTGCGATTTGTAGCGACGTCCGGTCTTCCCCTTGATGGCCAATTCTTCATCATGCATATAAAAAATTATGCCTTGTCTTCGCACACGTTTTAAGCAGACTCTATTGAGTTTTGAAAAGTAAAAGCTTCTTATAGCTAAATAACGTGTAACCATTAACGATTTGCGCCATGTTTCAGAAATCTGACGTATATGGATGTCGAGAAAATAAAGTTTTTGCCAGACTCTTTTAACTAGTCCGTCCGGTATCCAACGACTAGATGTCTACGGTCCACAGCAACCACTTGCCATCAGGTGGACTGGCTCGTTTGTCACCCTATCCTATAAAAAAGAGACGAAGCAGATGCGCTTTCTTGAGGACTTAAGATTAACATCACCATCGAAGCACTTGTTTCAGTTTTCACTAACAGTTCACATGAGATGATATTGAATACACAAAATCTATTTATTAGGGCCCATGTTCAGCATTGTGCATTTGATAAACTAATGAATGAACAATGCACCACGGTCTCCTCGACCAATATGGTTCCACTTAAATGCAGCGCTACAATCATGTTGTCATTTTTGATGTACCTAATTTCATTTGAATTTCTCATTGATTATAATGGACCCAATATTTGAAATGCCATTTTGTTTGAAATCGCTAATCTATTTTGTTTACGTTTTACCAGTATAACTACAGAGTACAGACACGCTTCAACTTACACACAGGTGACAACGCGGTCAATAAGAATGGTTTTGATATCTTCGTCAATAATTGCGAGCTGAATTAAATGATTACTTTTTCTATTAAATTGTTACTTGAGAGGTTCCATATAAATATGACGAAAAATATTCCACCCCTCAATGTGGAAGACAGGGTTTGAAGTTTTTAATGTTTCACGCGACATTCGAGCTTGTGATATTAGACCTACTCAAAAGGGACAAGAAATATACACTCTGCAAGCTAGCACACAAGATTTCGCGCTAGCGCTCCACTCTGGTCGATCGACTAAGGCAAGCCAAAGATGGGGAATAAAAACTCCCCGGGAGAATTCAGTTATGTCCCTACCATTATTATTTCTTGCACAAAAATTTTTGTGAGACTAATGCACTATCAAATGAACCGAAAGTTGATTCATGATGTTATCAGCTGCGATGTTAACACATCGTTCGACACAATTGCGCTATAAAAATATGGTGCGAATAAAATATTTATTGCGCTCGATAATAATATGTTTATTATAAATTCACGCGTGACTCAGTTTGTTTAACTTTAATGAAGAATTTGCATTAAATAACATATTTTTTTCTCACATGAAGAATTAAGAATGTAATGAAGAGACGCAACTATAATTTAAAAAAATAGTAACGGCCAACTAGTGGTCGAAAATCGACAGAAATTTAACAAATGTTAGGTTTATAATAATATATAACTGCACATAAATATATAAACAAATCAGGATCGAATGTATAAAATATAAAATAAAGGCTTTTTGGCCCTGCCATACACTTCACACACTATTGAAAAAGGAACATCTGAAGTCAAACAAAATTAGCAGCTCATTCAGTCAATCTGTTAAAAATTACTTGTTGGCAACATTTTAAAATTATTTAAAATGTTGCCAACAAGTGCCAATGCGTACAATCTCTGATCTGTGCGACTGTTTGACCACAGACTATTAGAGCGATCGTTGTATCGCGTGCCAATATTGACAATTACAGCTAATCCCCCCCTATAACGGACTATAGCAGAGGACTTCGATCGGCTGACGAGGAACAGGAAGGTAGGTAGGTATAAATGATTTCAGTAAGGTTTACTCCGTTTACCCGCCGCATCGTTTTACAAGCATATCTTATTTAAATATACGATATTGATTACGATATGTATTATACTGTTATGTACTGAGGTCAAAAGTTAAAAATTAAAATGCCTTAAAAACAGGAGTACACAAAACGCGGGCGGTGATTTATGCAGCTTGTTTCATTCTCACACTTTCAATTTCATCTTACAACTATTACCGCACCGCAAACGGCATGTGAACTTGCACGTATTAAATGTTGTACTGTCAGCCATTTTAAAAGTAGATATTTTGAAGAAATCCGAAAGCAATATTAACTTATTAAAATTATTCTTTTAGACAATCCAATGTTGGAATTCAAGCAAAAAGAAAAAGATATGGAAGCTTCTCCGAAGTTATAAAAAGAATGGTATTTTAAAAAACTTCGGTCAGGCAAACCCACAGCGCACAAGGACCAAGAAAGAAATAATAAAAATTATATCTAAACCAGTAAAGGTCAATGGGTGAATTGAAGATGGCCTACAAATATTAACAAAAAACAAACAATGTTAGTTTATCACATGTATGAGCAATGACAAGTGGGAAATTGAAATAATGAAAACTATATCTTAATATATATAAATTACGTGTCACGTTGTTTGTCCGCGATGGACTCCTAAACTACTTAACCGATTTTAATCAAATTTGCACAGCGTGTGCAGTTTGGTCCAACTTGAGAGATAGGATAGTTTTTTTGCCCATGAGTGACCCACAATTTGTGTATTTTCGCGAATTTAAGGATGGATGGATTTAAGGACATGATAAAGGGTCGTCGAAAAGGGCAGAACGTCTGTCTGGCAAGCTAGTTAATAATAAAATACTACTTAGCTCTTCGGACATTTTACTATATAGTGAAACTGAATTTTTTTGTCGCGAATTTGTATAATTTTTTTTACAGAATAAGTGACAAACGAGCACACAGTCCACCTGATGATAAATGGTTGCTGTGGTCCATAGACATCTACATCTATCCTATATTACGAATAAAAATGCAGATACGTTGTCACCCGTGATGACTAAGATGGAATGCCTTGTTTCCAGTAAAATGGGTCTCACAGGGAAAGCAGCATTTATCGCTGGTATTCTGTGAGAGCATGGTCCTACCCCGGTCGCGCCGACCCATTCGTGCTACAACTATACTACTAATGAAATTGCAGCATGGCTGTAGCACGTAAAAATAGATAGTATATTTAGTAGATAATTTTTTATAAATATAGTGTAAATATAAAATGTCTTAACAACTCGACTTAACGAAACATATGGTCCAGATTTTATGATTTCATTTTACACTAATAACATGTATAGCGAATATTAGAATTTGTTAATCAGTTAACAACCAGATTTAAGCACAGTTATGAAGCATCGTCTCGAAGACACAAACATTACATTGTTTAAATATAACCTCAATCGGTCGCTCTAATATTAAAATATACCTATAAATTTAAGATAGAAGACGGTAGGTACTAAGGCTTATGCAAAAGCAGTTATCTTTAATAATTTTTATAGAGTTACGAAATATGAATATTCTTTTAACTAACCTATTAAATACATGTGCAAAAACATCGATAATATTCAACATCGATGTTTTGAGTAGAATAAATGTCATCATCGATGTCAACATCGATGATTTCTGATACTGCTTTACGAGTCGTATACAATTGAAACATCAATTATTGACACCGGTTGTACAACAACCAAGATGTTTGTCTTATTGTAACCAATTTAGGTCAAATAACGCCACAATCACATTCTGGTCCCATATAGAGCATAAACACTCGTAGTTGCTGGTGATGTGACATGTAAGTATTGAAAAATTAATGAATGCTCACGTCGGTAGGAAAGGGAAGCAACAGGTCATAGTACCATGGATTTAAAAATTTCAAATAGGCTAAAAATTTTAATACTAAGGTTTAAAGATAGTCTAACGGTTGTGAAACGCCTTAAATTTCATGCGATGCGGCCACTCGCGTAGGTACCCGGGCGGCGTGTGTGCTAGGGGTTGTCACAAAATTGGGAATAAAATAATTTTGTATATTATAATACTCATTATCATTTATTAACGTTATGTACTTATAAGTTAAAAACATGTATTGAACAAGATCATTTTTATTACAACAAGAAAAATACATTTACTAGTGTTGCACTGCCAAATATTTTCGTGACACTTTCTTTTATAAATATTTTTAGTTTTCGATTTTTTATTTTAATTATAGCGTATTCGCATTCGGATAATATTTTTATCAAAATAAATAAGGGGTACATAAGCGTGGCCGTCATTTGAATTCAACTTTACTTATTAACTCATATAAGTACTTTTAACAGTGATTCACCATCATATATATATATATATATATATATATATATATATATATATATATATATGATATTTTTAAAAAACGGCACCTAAAGTTAATTAAATAAATTCTATAAAACACTTATTAGAATAGAATAGAATAATTTTTTATTCAATATAGAAGACTACTGGTTCGAAAAAAACCTCCATCCTGGGAAGAATGAGCAAGAAACCCAGCGGTACTTATTTTTTTAAATAAATTTTATAACAAACAGCTTGGAAGCGACCACCTCATTCCCAGGGGTTATTATAAACCACGTATCCATTTATATTATAATAACCATTTTTATAGTTTTTGTTTTATTAGATATTTAAACTTGGTAATAGAGCGACCTTGTATATTTTTTATTAACCGTAAAAATCTATTTTATAACATTAAATGGAAAACTTATTATGCCTACTCTCTAATAAAAAACCCTATCTTGAAGCCGCAGATGTCGACGATAATGTGAAACGAGCTGTAACATTGTGTTTTATGTGATTCAAATAAAAAATGCGTTCGGTTTTCAATCTGCCTCGTATTTTCTTTCGGTTTGTTTGTGATCATAATCCACATCGTCATTACCATCATTACCATCATCAGTACAGCCGTTACAAATCTACATTCATGAATACAAAAATCATTGGTAACAAATTTTCTTTAACCCTACTTACATTCCCGTGTTAAAAATGTTATCATTAAAGTTACAGCATATAAACGTCCCACTGCTGGGCACAGGCCTCCTCTCATTTCTGAGAGAATTTATAGGATAAGGATAATTATGTCCGCGGCGGTGCCTCAACGCGTGTTGGCGAACTATACATGACTTCGAAATAAATAAAAAATCTTGTTTATCAGACATCCCTGTTCCTTTACTACCTTCCTGTACCGTCGTGCACGCGGTAAATCAGCACTTAAAATTACAATAAAACAGTTTCATTGGTGCCGATGGGGATCGAACCCGGGTTGCTCGCGTACTGTGATAAAAAAAGGTTATCCTTACAGCCTATTAAAGTCCACTGTTGAACATAGTCTCTTCAATAAATTGCCTCATTGGGGGATATTTGCGATAGTTAGCAAGCTTGGCAAGCTAGTTGCCAACCGCAGTAATTTATTATTAGTCGTTATGAGGAAGACGCTGCTGTCATCTCCGGATTAGTTTTCTTCTGTCGCCTCTCACGACACCCACGGGATGATATCGGTAAACTAAGGTTGTTTAAGAATAATTTTTCCACCGAAGTCAGTTTCACTTACATTGTTTGCTCTTAGAGACACCAATAAGCAATATCTAGTAATTTTTTTTTCGTGTTAGAAATTGGCAAGGTTCGAACAGTTGCTCAATATTTCGGCACACATTTTGTAACTAGCCGTCTCGTTGACACAATACTGGGTGCAGGTTTCCTATCATTATTGATGGATGGATTCAATTTACTCCTCGGACATGCAGAAATCTTCACGTTATAAAACTACAATTAACAATGTAAGGGACATTGAAAGGCATCCCACTCAAGTTGGAAGTCAACCAGGTACTATGAACTTCTTCACCCCGGTGCTGAGGTACCTCGACTCTTTGTTTTTTAGCAGTGAAGGTTTAATAAGATGTTATGAATGATGATGCCAACTACATAAAGAGTGATGCGATTAAGTTCGATCCCCGCCAGCTGACTTACCACGAGCTTGGGTGTGAAAGAAAACATCGTGAGGAATCTCCGCATGTACAAGAAATTTAAAAAAAATATTTCGAAAACGTGAGAAGTCTACCATTACGCATTGGGGCAGAGGGACTTTTTTAGTTGTATTAGGGAGACAAACGAACTTACAGTGGACTCAGGTGGACCTGATGGTAAAGTCGATGCTGTGGGCCCATAGACATCAACATTTATCTTCGATTACGAATCACAATGCAGATGCGTTGTCGACAACGAGTACTAAGATGGAATGCCTCGTTTCCAGTTAAAAAAAAGGTCTCCGGATCTCTACACTCAACATACGTAACGTAGCAGTATTAAGCTGTGCTATTTTACGCTGGTATTCTGTGAGAGCGTGGTGTTGGCCCGATCAAGCCGATCGATTCATGTTACAACTATAATATATCTGCAGTGTGGCTCAAACACGCATAAAAGTTGACTTACTCTAGCCTGTTTCTAGGATTAGGACGTGTACAGGCTGTAACTTTAACTAACCTTTACAAAAAAAAAAAAGCAAAGCTAAGAAGTCATAATGGAAACAAAAGGAGTACCCTGTTGTCAGTGTTTGTAAAACATTGAAACTAACGCCGGTCACTCACATAAGTGCAAAGCAATATACCTACACATGTAATCGAAAACTGCGCAGCCGTTTTTTTTTATAAATTTTAACTTATTTTTTTTATAAAACTTTCAAGTGTCAAACGAACTTTTAGTTCACCTGCTGGTAAGTCGCTACTGCAGCGTATGTACACCTGCAACCACTTCGTAAAAAAGGCTACAGATTAATTATTATACATAATATAATATAAACAATGACGCCTGTCACCTAGAGGGGTAGGCAGTTTTATATGTGGTAGAGCCATGCTGCAGTTATATTAGATGTATAGTTGTAGCACGAATGGGTCGGCTCGACCGGGGAAGGACCACGCTCTCACAGAATACCAGCGTGAAATAGTAGCTTAATGCTGCTGTATTTCGTATGGTGAGTGTAGAGAACCGGCGACCCATTTTACTGGAAACGAGGCATTCCATCTTAGTCCTCACGGGTGACAACACATCTGCATTTTGATTCGTAATCGAGGATAGATGTAGATGTCTATGGGCCACAGGAACCACTTACCATCAGGTGGACTGTGTGCTCGATTGTCACCCTATCCTATAAAAAAAAAAACTAGAAACTTCCATTTGGTACGATCCTGACACACCTCTTTCGCCTCCTCCGCATTCATATACCTACGCATACATGCTCGTCGGTTAAGGGTACTCTTAATTTGGCCCATATTTAATATATCGCCAATTTGGTCGATAAACTTTCGCCTAGGATGTCCCTTTACGACTCTGCCGTTCACTTCTACAACATTTTATTGCTTTGTCACTCTTTCCTCATTCAATCTTTCTACATGACCAAACTTTTAAACCAAAATTTTAATACAAGTTAGAGCCATGA